GATTTTGCTGGCCAGTTGTTGGGCCACCGCTGCATCTTGAACAAGATACAAGCCATGGGCGGAGGGGTTGAAATCTGCAATAGACCTGATTGGGCAGTTCCAGTCTTCTGGAATCAGCTCGAAGGTAGGCTCAGGTAAACTGTCTTTCCCTTTTTTCCCTTTCCCTTTAGCTTTGTTTTGCGCTTCGCGTCCTTTCCCTTTGTCTTGTCTTTCCTGAACATCATCTTCTTTGCGCTTACCTTTGCCTTTAGAGGTATCTTGATTCATAGCTTTGCCATTCCCTTTGCCTCTGCCCCCTTTTTCGGCTTTCCCATTCGGGACATGCTGCTCCTCGGACGGGACAGGGACACTCCTGTCAGGTTGCATCCCAATTTTCTTAGCTGAGGCCCGGATCATGTCCCGAATCTGATTTTGCCCGTCATTGCTAAGGATCTTTTCCCTAAGCTTGGAGTCAAGAACCAGAAGGGCTCTAATCTGCTTGGGGGCAAACTCAACTTCTGCCCTCATGACCTTCTGCTGAGCCTTACCAATTGCCTCGGCTTCAGCTGCTCCTCCTCCTCCTGTGATCTGCTCTGCCATAATGCCAAAGGAATCATACTGCATCAGCCGATAAATAGAAATACCACTCCCCAGGTCAGATAACTCACAATAAGAGTCATGTTGTACTGAAGGAATAGTGAGAGATATCGCATCGATGATCCCACATAGATGATGTAGCATAATCATGCAAATGGGATCCTTCATACCACCTTCAACGTCTGAGAGGTCCTCGATGGGCTCGTGGGAAACCGCAAGAGCAGGTCGAGCACCTCTGCTGATTTCCAGTCTTCCAGATGCAATAGAATAAGGCTGCGTAGCCAATCTGTTGGACCTGTCACGGAAACGATCCGGCCCTACCCTCGGAGGTCCTTCATCAACAAAGAAGGGAACCGTCGGGGAGATTTCAGAATCACCAAGTGGAATGTGCCGCGGATCCCCAACAATCCTCCCTTCAGTTCCAGCAGTGGGCAGAAGCTGCGAGAGGTGTGCCTAAGCCTGCAGATAGTAGCCTTTTGATCCTCAATGACCTCCTGTTGCTTCTGCAAAAGTTTGGCCAATCTTCGATTCCGTTTTCTCAGCGTACTTTGCAGTTGAATAGCCTCATCAAAAGCTGTTTGGGCATCCCTACATCGGCTGAGCATGTGAAAGGCAGATGAATCCGAAGTAACAGACTCATCGTCCTGTTCCCCACCCCCACCAATAAGCCCGAGGGAGTTCGCCCAAATAGGAACAATGCCAGTCCGTCCACCTGTCACGTCGAAGTACCATCCCAGTGCCGGGTCCGCCTCTGGGGGAAAACTGAAATAGTCCAGAAGGATGGATCTCACCTTTTCAACAGTGTACTCATCGATTCCCAGCAAACCAGCAATAGTGGAGGGCGAGCTTTCAGGGATGAAATGCATCGGTTTGATCTTCCAACTCACAAACTTGCCAACAAGAATTTGTTGATCCCCATCAGAAACATGCATGGTGGCCAGGGCAACCGCATCCTTGACATCTCTTTCATCCTCCTGATCGAGAAATTGTTTGGCCCTCGTCTGTTGAACAGCTTTGCCCATGAGCTTCCGACATGCAGTTTTAAGGCTCAGGACTTGGGCTTCGGACATTTTGGTGAGCGTCATAATAACCCGGGTTTTCTCAGCCAGAATCTGTGCATAGGTCAGAAACCGATTTAATGGAAAAAGGGCTCTGATTTCATCGTTGAATGGCGTGAGCTGCAAATACTGCCCCAATCTCATAAGGTCCAATGGTACCTCCTGTTCAAGCATACCCCCCTGTAAGGATCTTTTGCGAGGCAGGGCCGGTCGTCCATCGATGCCCAGCATAGGCTCGTCCTTCATCCACACCTCAACCCGTCTTATGCGGGGAAGAGGGGGCCGGGGATCTGTGTCTTCAACAAAGATCTTCTTGTGCTTGCGCCTCTTCCGCTTGTGAGGCTGATCATCACCTCCACTCGTCTTAGCCGGGGGTGGCGTACCTTCACGAGGTCGATCATAGTTTGGGGCCGTGGTGAAAGTCCGAATATCAGCGAAATGAACCTTCATACGTCTGCGGTCCTTGCCGATTTTTCTCCAAGCCGGCTCTCTCTTCGTGGGCTCATCATGCTGACTGCTCTGCAAAAATGCTTCATCATCGGTGGAATAGTATGAATACTCGTCTCCACCGCCTCCGCAAATATGACTGATAAGGTCCATGCCACTAGCACCAAAATAGGCCAGGGAGCAGACAATACAGAGGAAAAGCCTGCAACCGCGCCATTGCTCCGTGACCTCCGTACCCCAAGTTCTAGCTCCACCGCTGACATCTCTCCTCAATCGCGGCAAAGGGCGCCTCCTCGGGAGCGGGGTCCGAAGACTATTATGAAGCGGCCTCCCACCGGGGGAGCGGGATCGTGACTTGAATCGGATCCTTCTCTGCCAGGCTGGCGCGTCCGACAAACTCCACACTTCTCCCAAGCCTCGATAACCGTCAGAGCCCGAAGCCTGGTCCACACCATCAGCTACCACTTCTTCTCCATGCGTCTCTTCATATTCCATGTTCTCCTGCTCCTCGTTTTCCACAAGGACTTCCTCCATCTCTTCTTTCACTTCCTCATTTCCTCCATCATGATCATCTGGGGGCTGTGAAGAGTCCCAGGGCTCCAAACCAAGCCTCCGACATTTGGCTGCAAATATCTCATCCTGATCTATCTGCAAATGTAGCACACAATATCCATATTGCCAAATCATCCTGTAGTCATGAGGTCCACGGGCCCAGTATACATTGTACAAAAGCTCTGGTGGAATGTCACAGCCCACCAAATAGACCCCATTGGTTGATTTGTACAAGGGCATCTCTGCGTCAAGCAGTTGTTGAACATTCACTGCAACCACCAGATCACAACCCGGCCGCATTCCTGATTGCCCATGGTTCACAAAGTAGGTGGTGCTAAAGTGCACGTGTTGCCTGTGGCCACATCGCAGACCCTGACGTCTAATGGACCCCCACGCCGCCAAATATGTGCCATGAAACAGAGTGGGCTGGTCCACCTCATCCGGCGTTGTAATCTGGCGATGCATTTCATTGCTGAGATCCAGCTCCTTGTTGTGGCCTTGGGTGGCCCGTATGAGCCAACCTTCTTCCCCTTGAAGAAGCTCAAATCTTCCTTTCTCGCATTTGTTGACTGCCTGTAGTACGCTGTCAATCGAGGCATGTGGCTTCCGAGCCAAAATATCCTCCACCTTGACATAGCCCTCGTTATCCATCGAGATGCCCTCCTTGACTGCTCCGTGCCGAAGAACAAAAGAAAGGTACCGACCGATATCGTATGTAACTCCCGGAATGTCTGTAAATGGCGCCCTGCTCCGTCCTTTACCGCGTCCTCCTCCTCCTCCATGAAGATCAGAGTCGGTGCGGGCCTCACTTGCATCCATCTCGGAGTCATGAGCATATAAGTCAAAAGAGGACCGCTTAAAAGCTTCCCATGATACTGCTCGCTCCTCAAGCCGAATATTGTCCATCCGAATAGCTTCAAAGTGATTGTTCAATAGCCTGAGTATCAGCGGCTTGATCTGCATATCCTGAACTGTAGGCATGAACCGCACCACCTGCCCGGTGTGTTTATAATTGCACCCATTGCCCACGTTGACCACCCAGATTTCCTGCCCCAAAAAATCCGATGCTGCTTGAATTGCGTCTTCATCTGCCCATTTGCCTCCTGCTTTGAGCTTCTTCTGAATCTCCAGGGTGGAGTTGCTAAGGACCTGAAGCTTGATCTTTCTCCAGCTCCTGGAGTGCCCGAAGCGAAGCTGACTGATTGCATACCAAAAGCAGTTGCCTCTCCCCATATTGCACAAAATCCTGCCAGTGACAGTTCCGAGAGCCACCGTGGGGCCTTCGAGGTGCTTCCCAAACCTGTCGAGGTCAATGCTCTCCTCGCCAAGCTGCTCTTCCTCCATCTTGCCCAAATTGCAAGCTCGGACAAGAAGCACCCATACCCTATGCAGCGCCTGCACGCACACCATGAAGAGCATAGTGACCGCCACCCCGGCAATCAGACTGCCACTCAGAAGGCTCACGCCCCTCGGGCTGCTTCCATGGCTAATGCTCCAAATCACACTGATTGAGCCATATGGGTACCCAAACAGAGCAGATTCCCCCATATAAACGCCCACAGCATGCTCAGGGAAGCTATTGTGGGGTAGGTACCCTCGAAGATACCAATCCATTTCAAGGGTACATGAAGCCCAAATAATCACAAATAAAGGGAGCCGGAAGGGAATCCAAGGGGTCTGTCTGCACCTCCCCTGTACCCAAATACGACACCCGGCCTGTATCTCATCTGCTTCATGTAGAATGAACATCAATAGGCGCACCAATATTGCTGCTCCTTCACGAAGATGCCGACATCCAGAAATATACAAAATACCAAAGGCGCCGACGATGAGGTACTCAATAACCGCATCAATAGGCCGCTGACGAAGAAGAATACCAACCAAGATCCACCAATACTCATCAATACCAAATAATACCAGGTCATATCTGCAGTCCTTAGTGGTCCTCACTCTGCTCCAGATGAGGGAGGTCCAATAGGCAGCTTTTCCAGGAGAAAAATAAACACCATTCCAAATCACCATGAACATCTTCGAAAACAGACCAAGAAAAGAGTAACAATTCCCCACCTGGGATTCCACAAGAATCCCTTCTCTCACATCTCCAATAGATAAGGAAAACATGAAAAAGTTGACCAGAAAGGCCAACATCAACCCCTGTCCCCAAATCTGTAACTGTCCGGGTGATGGGGCCATGACCAAGGAGGGGTCAGGTCCTACCGAACAGCTAACAGCTGTCACCGCGGGAAGGCTTGAGGCTGAAACAGCTGTTTTGATTGTGGCTCATACTCGGCCCATAAGGCCTTTCCTTCGGCGTATTGAGCCCACCTTGGGTCCTGGGAGCGGGTCCCGTCGATTCGATTCGACGGCCTCCTGCGCAGATGACGACATTTCCCTGGCTGCTGGAGAACCACGCGCCTTGGGATCCAAAAATTGACATTCCCGTTCCTCCCTCCCCCCCCCTTCCTGGTGAATTGATTCAGGCCTTAGGTCTTATTTAGCAGGAAAGGGGGAGGGAGGAATGGGGGGAGGAGGTTGAATCCTTATGAGCCCAAGAAACAATTTCGGGCGGTTGAAGCCGCAGAGGCTCATATACCGCCATTGTAAGCTTGTACGGCACTATAGAGCATATAACTTCCATGCCTTCAGCACCTGCAGCTTGCCATGGGCTGAGGTCAAGCAGATCCGAAAGAATTATATAGTGGATAAGCATAAAGCAACCAAAACTTTGGTCATTTGCCGGACATCGGAAAAAACAGTTGTTGGGGGGGGCACTTTATCAATTGTCCCCTAGTCGCGCCCGGCAAGCCGCCAAGCCTTTCTCGCGCGCGCCTTTGCACATTGTTTTTGGGAATTTGCGACTTGTGGGTGTGATGTTTCACGGGTCTCAGACCCTGTCCATCATTTTGATGTTCATGTCCACGAGCCACTTTTCAGGAGGCTCCAACTCCTAACATTCAGTTCGCCGAGTGAGATTTTCGCGGGGCCCCTGTCACGCTGGTAAAAAAGGTTGGCAGAAATCAAAATCGGAGAATGGAACATGATCGCCTTTCTGCGCTAAAGCCGGGGTCCCATTCCCATTGCAAGTTTGCCGCTTTCAAGGGCCCTTTTGGTATAGTGACCAGAGTCGCTAGTCACAAAGAGTCGCCAGTACTCAGCAATAGTCACCAATAGGTGCGAACAGTCACTAATCTTAAATGATGGCAGTGGCCCTGAAGGGTCCCTGGCGCCAATAACCACTGGCAGTCACGCTTTTCGGCGCCAAAAAATTACCCATCCAACCTCCCAACTGCGTTGCATGAATTTCCAGATAGCCCTTTACAGACCTCGCCACCTCCATTCGCGAACCAAGGCACATGGCAGCGCTCGACAGCGGAGCAGGTAGAGCCTCACCAACATCGTTTGCGCCAAACGACAAGATGGAACCCGTACAAAACAAGTCCTTTTTGCCCCAAAAGGAGGCTCCTTCCTTATGGATTTTTGGGCAGCAGAGAGGTTGTGCTTTGGATGGAATTGGTAAAGGAGAAATCCCAACAGTACAGCGAAGGGGGGGATGGCAAACAACCCCCAATTTTGATTTGGGGTTGTCTCTAAAAAAGTTGATCCCCTCCAAACGAAGGGTTCCAGCCTCAGTTGTTGGGGCTCTCTTTGTACCCTGGTAATGTCGGCACGCGATTGATGAACCTTCAGATGCCCAAGGGCCATTGGAACAAAAGGATCGGCCTCCCGTTTTTGGGAAACCCTCCCAGACAAGTTTTTTCAAAGGAGCAACTCACATGCAGAAAAGGCCATGGAGAAAAGAAAAGGCGTCCTGTTTCGGTTGACTTGAAAGGAATCGGAACCCTCCCCCAAAAAAATGAAAAGGAAGCAACCGGCCGGGCAACTGGGCCCGGTTTTTTGCGGGAGACTGCCTGCCACGACGGCAACGGGCAAGCCGATCCGAGTGCTTGGCACCCAGAACCCCCTCTGATTGAAGGCGTCCCTAGCCCAAGATCCAGAAAGTTTGCTAAAAACAAAAACATAGGGTCAAACTACCAAAGCTGTTGCCAATACTCTGGCTAAGACTAACTCCTCTCATGGTGTAACTCATGTGCCCGTATGGCGCACCTCGGGGCGCCGGAAAACAACTACCCTGACTGCGGGTGGACGGAATCCATTTCGCACCACAAAATGAAACCGTGGTTGAAACCATATCGATTTCTGGCATTTTCAGGGGAATCGAATCAATTGTTTGGGTGTCTTAGGTGCTGCGAAATGAACTTCGCAACCACAGTAGGTTGCAAGGTCGCAGAAAACTGCAGCACAGTTCAAGAGTGCGCCTTAGGCCTCGTTCTGAACTTTAAAGGCGAAGGCAACGCCCTGCAATGGGGGCTCCCTTGAAGAAACACCCAAGGAAGGGATACGACCGACCTGACGCAGGGTTTCTTCAAGAAATCCGGCTTCTGGGCTGTCCTCAGATCCCCTGCTCAAAGTTTCACTTCTAGGTAAAAACCCACCACTAAGCCAACTAAAAACCACTTAAAAACACGAAATGGAAACGAATGGCTGGTTAAAAGACGTTTCCCCGAAATTGGGCAACCCCTTCTTCGCCCATCCTCACCCTCCCCTCCCTTCCGCTCGCCGCGCTTCGCGGCGTTTAGCTTTGCCGCGGCGCATGCAGCAGAGAGCGCGTCGCTGCTTGAAGGCCAGCGGCGCCCGCTCTTTCGCGTTGGCGTAGAGCTCCTGCGAGTCGAAACGCGCCGTCGCGTGTTTTTCCGCTTGGGTTTCCGGTGGTTCAAAGGGCGCCAAATCCTTTTGAAGTTTCTAAGGGTGGACTCCCCCAGTTTGTTCAACCAACGTTCATTTCAACAAACCCGCCGTTTCTCTGGGGTTCCGGAGGCTTTCTAGAAAGAAGGATCCCTGGAAAGAATGGGGAAGGTAGCACTAGAAGGTTGATGTTCCCCACTGATCTGGCACTTTTTTTACGGGCTGGAAACATCCAGAACAAAAAAAACAAGGGGTGGGTTAGAAAAGGGTACCATGATTTGTCGAATTTGATGCTCCACTTTTAGTAAACCCAAACAAGAAGGGATAAAAAGGCCTCATCGGAACTCGAAGCACGGCACTGGGCATCCGGAGGAAAAACACAAAAAGCAAGGGGTGGGTGGTAAACGGCCCCACGTCAGGTCAAGACTCACGTCCGTCAACCTCAATTCCCCTTTTCTGCATGTCTCAATCAAACAGCGTTCGCGAGAGGACTGTGCCCTCTTCGTCCCAATTGCTATTGAGTCTCAGGTGCCCGTGACCCTTTAAGTGGTTCACGGAATGGGGCCCGACCCGTTTTGAGGGTGTCACCGAACCCGAAGGCTCAGCTTTTTTTTTTTCTGACCAATGTAAAGGGCGAGGCGGGGCTTCAATGGATGTTGATGGCACGTGGTCTCCTCAGCATGGTCGAAACACTTATGCACATTTGGGGTGTGCGCCAAAATCCACGACCGATAAAATTTGGTGCTTGCACTTTGACCGCTCACGAAGGGTCCCTTTGGATTCAGTGCCGAGCTGCGCAAATGACGCCGATGAAAACGTTCAGGATGAGGACTGAGAAGAAGAGCACGGCGACCAGGATTAGCGTGAGCTCCTCTCAAACTTGGGTAATTAAAGTGTACATGTCCCTACACAGGCGCACGTGCTTTGTCCCCTGGATTCTCTAAGTGATTTTTACTAGAGAATCAAGGCAAATTCCTAGTTAGTAAACCTGAAATGTAAAAGTGTCCCAAGCACGGACCTTTGTCATGGGTGAGCTCCGTTTGGACCCCCGTTGTGTGCCACTGAACATTCCCCCCCAAGCCCTGGTGTTGTCTCCAAATGCTAAACCCGTCCCCCCCAAAACAAAAACAAACAAAAAAGCGGAAGTGAGGCCCGGTTCCTTTTCATGTCCCCTTGCAACAAGCCGAAGAGGATAATTACCCTCAAAGACACACGCTTACAAAGGTCGTGTTTAGCCAGAGTTCAGAAACAGGGTTGTGGGTTGTGCTGTGGTGTTGTGCTGGGTTGTGTTGTGGTGTGTGTTGTGCTGTGTTGTGTTGGGTTGGGCTCTGCTGTGTTGTGGTGGGTTGTGGGTTGTGCTGTGCTGTGCTGTGCTGTGTTGTGTTGTGCTGTGTTCTGTTGTGCTGTGTAGTGTTGTGTTGTGTTGTGTTGTGGTGTGTTGTGTTGTGTTGTGTTGTGGCGTGTTGTGTTGTGGTGTGTTGTGCTGTGTTGTGTCGTGTTGTGTTGTGTCGTGTTGTGTGTGCGTGTGTCAACATAGAGTCAACCCCAACACAAAGTGCTATCATGTTGGCTTTGTTGTACACCAATGTAACAACTGCACCCGCCCACACACACACAACACACACACACACGCACAAAATAATAAGTATGTATATATATATATATGCACCGAGAATGAGCTCCAAATGTCAGTGCAGCCCCCCTTCCAAACTTCCAATGGCCCCACCCTACCCCGGGCAACGCCCCTGAACTGCTCTCCCCCAACTGAGTAAAGCCAGAAACCTCTAGGTACAGCTTCAGAGGCTGGTGATCCGAAAACCCCTTGCGCTCGCTTGCTATGTGGGTAAATGGTCATCCTGCTTCGTTGTCAGTTGAATGGAGTCTCTGAAGCGCTGAGCATGGGGAGGGGGCTTCCGCTTTCTCATTTCAGGAGAGGCACCAGACCCAGATCTGCTTCCTATGAACCTGAGTTTGCTGCTGCCAGAATCGGGATGTGACATCTAGCACCAAATGAAGGCACCGCTCTTATTGTTTTGCCTGTATCATGTCAACCCCCTCCTTTTGGGCGGCAAATTTCCCCAAACTGCCAACCCAAGTAAGAAACCGTCATCATTCTAGGGGTTGATTGCCCATTGCATTCTTTTCAACCATTGTTCTTTTCAAAAAACAGCCGTTTTCCTGGGTGAGCTTGTTGTTTTTTTGTTTCTCTCGATCGGTGAGTCTCACCTTAAAATCGAAACAGATGCGGCTACTGTAGGGCATGGGAACCCCCACAAAACAAATATGGCTCCGTGTCAATAGGGGAAACAACGCTGGTGGGCATGAATCCCCACCGAACTGTGCCTGCGTGGTGTGGTTTTTTGGGGACCCCCTTGAGACTGGCTTTAAAGGGAGACCAACAGGAAACCGGACCCGCTTTGTGGATCATCCTAATTTGTGACAAGCGTTGGACATGACCAGACCTTTCTACTTCTTTTTCAAAGGACTCAAAGCAAAAACCGCTCAAGTTCATGGAGCCCCCCGTAGAAGAAAACCTCAATTTCATGGAGCCCCCTGGTTTTGTGGCTCCCATCCAATTCAACCCCTCCCTTCCCCCCGTTCCCGCCCCACCCTCCCCCTCCACCCTCCTCCCCCCCCTCCACCCCCCACCCCCCCCCCATCCCAGTTGGTTGGGCGCTCCATGGTCGCCACATTGGAGGCGCTCTCTGGCAGCGCCGCGGTGATGAGCACCGCGAAGGTGTCCGTGGAGATGTGGGGCCACAAGGCCTCGCGGCTGCCGGCGGCTCGGTCACGCCCGAGGCTTGGGAGGTTCCCTTCGGGGGAAGCGCCGAATTTCTACAAGGAGGGCTTCAAATCAAACCATCCAAACCATCCAAATCATACAAACCGAAGGGCTTCAAATCAAACCATCCGTGCCTGATTATTGTCCTTTTTTCCCCGGGTGGTTTCCCATTCCTTCAAGATCCGGGGGTTCACCTCCCACCACCAGGCTGTGAAGGATGACCAAATGTCTCGGACCCTGGTGGTGACCACCAAGTAAAATCAGGCTGGTTGTTGTAACTAACACCAGTTTTACTTTGGAGGAAAGCAGCGGTCCGTTGAACATCCTGGGATTCCAACCCTGGTCCAATCCAACCTCTGTCTTGATCCCCAAGCCGCCTTTTGGTGGCATTCAGATCACAAAGAAACAGCGCCTACGGGGGGATTCCCTTGGCCGGACGGTGAGATCTGTCACTGCAACACAACATGTGCAAAAAAAAGCTATTCACAAGTTGGAACAAAATTTAAGCATTCCCCATAAATTGCCAAAAAAAAACACCACACTTGTGATAGGCCCTCCTTTTTCTAAGTACCACGTTTGTGCTAGGACTTTTTGCGCTGCTAACTACTTCCATCTACTCCCTTGCAAAGCCCATCTACCGTACAGCTCTCGGAGCCGCTCGACGCGGCCTGGGTGGAGCCCCGCACGAGGTAGAAGGCGTGGGTGAAGGCGCCGAAGGAAATGGCCGTGACGAACAAACTCGGCCCCAGGCCGCCTGCCGAATCCAGGCGGAGTTGACTCGTTTTTTGGGGGGTCGTTTCGAGAGGCGAAAGGTAGGGGGGGAGGGGGGGACTATTTGTCCAACTTCATGATACAAGGATCTAAACTGAGCTAAATAAGCGGAATGGGGTGGTAGGGTACTATTAGGTACTATTACTCCAAAGTCAAACTGCTTCGTGATTCATGGCAGAACAATGTTTGTGTGGTTCAAGGAAACAACAAACCAAAAATGAATTTCGCCTCAAATCGACACCTTCAGCGCCTGCAAGCAAAAAGCCTGACCGGAACCAGAAGCGCGTCTCCTTCTGTGCCTTTGAACAAAGTGTGTTGAGCCCTATCTCTTTCAGCCATCTGGAGGGAAAACTGCTAGCGGATTGCAAAGTGCAAATGCATTTGACTTAGGCCCGCACTGGCCAGGTCGATGATTGGCAGCAGCTCGACCCCGATGTACCTGCGATAAAGCTATCGTCCGCCTTTGTCCTATTAACCCATGTACATATATAAGCATGCATTCATTTATTGATGTACGTGTGGCTTAGTTGAATTTATGTAGGCCGTTGTTTATGTGTGTTGTGTACCCATTTATATTCTAGTTGGTTGTACTTGTTCATGACTTTTTGTATTTTCTTATATGTGTTAATAGTTTATAGTGGTTCATCAATTTATTAATCTATTTATTCAGCTATGACGATATGTCTAAATTGTTAATGTTATGTGTGCATGTGTTGAGATATGTGTAAATGGATATTTATTGTGGCATATATGAATCTATTCACTTATGTGTCTATCGATTGTTGTGCTTGACAATGTATATTTATACGTGTGTATTCAGTCATGTGTTTAGTTTGCCATTCATTTGTTTGTTTATTTGCATATTCAGTTACTCATTTACATATTGGTTTATTCATTTTGTTATGCATTTGTCTATGCGCTTACTTATCTACGTTTTGGTATCTAGATGATAAGCATCCAAATGCTTAGTTATTTATTTGTGTATGTCTGCATTCTTAATCTACCTACTTCTGCGTTCATTCATTGAATTGCATGTTTATGTAACATGCTATGCAAACGTACGCATGTCTGTATGTACGTATGTATTATTCAATTATATGTATGAGGTGCGTATCCATGTGTGGTTGTAGTCAATCAGTTATGCAGTTACAAATTCATTTGCAATGATAAGAACAAAAACAACATGTGTGTTGTTATTCCTTTTTGGCTTTACGTATGTCGTTTGTATGTATTCATCTATGTATTGCTGCATGTATGTATTGACTTGTATATTGATTCTTGACATGTATATTCATACTGCGACATATAAATTGCGTATATGTTCATTCCTTGATTTATGCATGGAGTCAATTCTCGACTTCTGTGTGCAGCTATCTATGTGTAGATGCATGTTTGTTTTCGATTTAGTTCTCTATCTTCTCTATGTATGTCTGCAGTCCGCTATTATTTTAGGTGTTTATTCATTTATTCATGTATTCATTTCTTCAGTGATTCCTTTCTTTATTAAATTGTTCATTGACTCACTCGCTCACTACTCACTCACTCACTCACTCACTCACTCACTCACCCACTCACTCACCCACCCACCCGCTCACCCGCTCACTCACTCACTCACTCACTCACTCACTCACTCACTCACTCACTCACTCACTCACTCACTCACTCACTCACTCACTCACTCACTCACTCACTCACTCACTCACTCACTCACTCACTCACTCACTCACTCACTCACTCACTCACTCACTCACTCACTCACTCACTCACTCACTCACTCACTCACTCACTCACTCACTCACTCACTCACTCACTCACTCACTCACTCACTCACTCACTTCACATCATTAATTTCATGTCATGTCATGTCTTGTCATTTATTGCTATTTAATTGTATATTGGTGTGTTCATTTGTTGATTTAGGTATGTGTTATCTATGTATTGATGCATTAACCGTGTTTGTGCGTTATTTGTGTGTATCTACCTATCTATATCTTTATCTCTTTGTCTATCTATCTGTTTATGAATCAAGTTGTGAATCTATTTAATCATGCATTTATGTATAGACAGGGAGAGAGGGAGAGAGAAAGAGAGACCAAACCAAGGGGTCATGGCTCAGTGAATTTGCCCAGCATCTTGGCCACACGAGCCCAAGCGAGGTTTGCAAGGTGAGTCTCACCGTCGCGATCGCCTGCCAGCCTAAATCAGCCTGAATCGGCCTAAATAAATCGGCCCAATTCGACTGCGGATGTAGGGCTACTGTGAATCAAACCTCATCATGGGATAAACATGTGTGTAATCATGTCGCCTCTTACCTTGCTGCCCCATGTGTGGCAGTTTCAGGGGGCACTGCATGAGCGTGTAGCACGTCAGCACGCGGCCCCAGTAGAGGAAAATCCCACCTCGCCCAATCTGCGACGAAAGCGCAATGTGAGAGCAACGCCGGGAAGACTCAAGCTAATTAAGTCCGTTGGAAAACTGAAAAAAAACTGAGCCATGGTCAAATTTGGGGACCTCCCCACAAGGGTACAGGACATTTGGTGAGTCCCCCCATCTCCCCTAAATGAACCGTAGACTGAGCAGGGTGACCAAACCTGGGCGAAAAGAACATGCGTCAGTTATTCTTTGAGAACAGTACAAATGATCGCCCCAAGGAAACCAGAAGGAACTGTCGACGCTATACAGCCGCACTTGTCCACTAACTCCGACAGGAAACCGAGTTCGTCCTTTTTGAACTATTCTGTCAAAGCCAAAGGCGTTGTTCACCCAGCAACCTGTCCCAGTGGGGGCCTCAAAACATATCCTTGCAGGTGACCGATGCTGGATTCAGCTTGGGATCTATACCGGGCACATGGATCCAAAAATTGGACGGGTTCCAACACGAGGTTCACCACAGATTGTTTGGACCGTTTTAGTGGATCCAAATGTGCATCCACTATTCCTCCTGAAGCCCCCTCGCCGCTCAAAACTCATCTGAGTTTGGTACCAAGACGGTGAGAAGAGTTGGATCAAATCGTTCAAACCCCCCTGACCAGTTTGGCTTTACTTGCAGGCAGTCAAAGCTAGGCTTTGGCCTAGCTCAACCCTATACCTAAAATTAAAACATGTTTCCAATGGGCTTTGGAGAGCCCCTTCTTGTCAGCTGATGCATGGTCAATGTCGTTGTTTTTTCCTCCACCATCATGTCAGTAGTTGGCAAGTGGCAAAACTACGCACATGTCATACTGATTCCACAACCTGAAACAAGGGTTTTCAGATACAGTACCTACATCACGGTTGTTTTACCCCCGATGAGCTTGCTAGAAACATCGACAGACAAAAGTCAAATGTGACCGAACCTTTGCCTTTACAGGCAAAAAGGGGGTAGCAACCAAACAAAAAACGAAAACGGCGAGCAGCCCCTCTGGCTATGTGTCTCCGAAGGTGTTGGCTTCCTGCTGGCTTCCCTGCAGCCCCCCCCAAAAAAAAACTCTAAACCCCGGATCGTTGGTGAAAATTGGGTGGAAGGTGGTCACAGATCAACTGAGCAACGCACACAACCCATTGACGTTTGGTTCTACTAAGACTGCTGTCAGATTTGTATGGCATTACAAAAACCTTCACTAAAAACAGTTCTTCCGGTAGAACACCCTGCCTTGAATGGCCCAATGCAAATTTTATCGGGCACTGCTGAACTGGGGGTATAGCAAGGGTCGTGGCCCATGGCGCGCAAGTCTCCCTTCGGAAAGCAGCCTTACAAAAGCCGTCTGTGAAGTTCCGCTTTTGGGTGGGAGGTCACAGAAAGAAAGTGGGAGGCTCCTTCACAACTCGCGCCAAAAAAAAACGGATGCGTACAAGGACCCGCGGCTTTTCAAAAGCTTGCGGTACAGGTTATAGCACGGCACGAGTGTGTCCCCTGGTTGAAATAAAGTGAGCCCCATGTCTCAAATGGACAAAATACTACTGCTTGAAACAAACATGACCGAGTGTCTTTTTTCCTGCAAAGGAGGATATCTTCCCCCTCCCCCTCCCGCGCTTTCGCTGACGCGCGGCATGTTTGTTGCACAGACCCTGGCAGAAACGTCACGCACATATCATTGTTCTAAAGTGTCGGGCACCTGCTTAGCATATTCCAACATGCCTTTTCAAGTTGGTTTCCTCGTTGTCTGATGAGCAATTGGCAAAGAATTTGCCAGTGAGTTGCATTTTCTCAGATGTGTTTGTGTCAAAATAAGGGAACCCCTAAACTGCGTGGTTTTCTTTGCTTCCCCTTGAACACCACCCCCAACACAGGGCTACTTCTCAAAAAAGCACAAGCTCGAATAGTTCGGAAGTCACCGAAAATGCCTTCGGCTTCTCGGCTACGGCTTCCTTCCATTTGTTTAAGACCCCTGGAAGTGTTTTTTCTTTTTTTTGATACATTCCTTTTAAAACCAACAGGGGAAAAAGAAAGAACAAATCTTAAGCAATTGGAAGATTCCGAGGCGCAGAGCAGAATGGGCTGGAAGTCCGGCCAGAAGAGCAGCAGCGACGGCAGGCCCGCCAGCAGGGCACGCATCAGGTTCACGGTCTTGAACCTCAGCGTTTCCCCCAGACCCGCGGATTTCGTGTTTTTTTTTTCAGACTCTCTAGGGGTCACTTCGACATTCTTTCCAGGGATCCGGATCTTTCTAGAAAACCACCCAAAACCCTGACGAAATGGCGATCGGTTTTTGAAAAGAACGATGGCTGAAAAGAATGGAGAATCAACCCCTAGAGACTCGCGGATTTCTATGGGGAAAAAAGGGCACCTGTTTGTGTGTTGGTTGATGCTCCAGGCTCAAAACGAAGAAAAATGGGCACCTACTGGGGTCTGGGGCTCTATGCCTGTTTAGCTGGTTGATCTGCCCTTTGACGACGGGAAGAAATGCCCATTTTGGGCGTGCCTTCCTCTTTGGTATTGGTGTGCCTCTTCAGAACCAAGGTCCTTCTTCCAGGGACCATTCCCCGCCCCCCGTTCGGCAGCGTACAAGCCAAGGTTGGCTGTTGGGCTAAGCTGGTTCATGGTTGTGGGGCATGCGCCCCTTTCCAGGAAACCAAATGTGGGATTCTCATCCCTGTGACTAATTCATCACTTGGGGACTCCCATCACTGAGGGGATTCCCCAAATCCGATTTTCCACATGATATATGTATATATATATATATATATAGGCAACCGAGTGAAATGCCAGGCCCCAAGCAAGGAGTCCCGAAAAAGTGTAGTTCTGACAAGTTGAACGATGGAAGTGGAAGCTGCTCTGGCGACAAATGGGTGAGTCTAATGCATGTATGTTGCTTACTCTGTCCTCAGAGTGTTGCAGAGCATGTTCCCCCGCAAAGCTGAGATAGAATGAGTGGCACTCTCTACTCCAAAGACCAGGGAATATTATATAAGTGGATTCAATGAAGAATCATCATGTTGCGGCCTGTTCGTGGCTTCAGGGATGAGGCCTTTTCGTGCTTGATGGCAACGCAAAGCCTAACATGGGGCTGGATAAGCAGGGAACGAACCTAAGAACGCGCGGTCATTTGTATATCTCCCACAGAAAACCACTTGGGTATGTCTCAAAAAAAAAAAACATAAAGTGATGTATTTTTGGTGGTTTCCCCATAAACCAATCCCCAAAATCGTACCCTCCAAAAGGCGCCCCAGTCTTCTTCTTGACATGCCGCTTGTTTCGCCTTCTTCAGTAAGGGGGGCGTGGTCAAAATTGAGGGGCCCAGTTTCATATCCCCTAATGGCGCCCGCAAAGAAACCGGCTGGCTCGTCGTTTTTTTTAAAGTCGCCCCAAAATGGTGGGTTTTCCTGTTGTTCCCCTTTGAAGCCAATCCAACAAGGTGAAACCCGGGACCTGCCTTTGACCGCAGGTCCTATCGTTCTCTGCTCTGTTGTGGTGGGTTTCAAAATTTCATTTGTACGACTATCCTCGGGCAGGCATTCAATTTTCTCTGAAAGTCAGAGCGAGGCGCCAATCATTCCAGTGCCCGATCTTCATGAATCCTCGAAGCTCGCTGTACTCCAACCACAGGTCCTCAGTGGGCTGGGACCCAAACGGTGGCTTTCCTTTTGCTTTCCGACTGAAAAGGGCACCGAAGCCTCAAAAGAAACACACACCGTTCACACGCCCATATCATGTTTCCCGAGCCATATCATGGTTCCCTAAGGGGAAATGGGCAAACGGAATTTGCCCTGAAATAAGGCGTGATCAGGCCTTTTTGATGTCTTTTCCCATACAACGCAGCAAAACATGGGAGGAAGTGGAGGTGGAATCCCAAATGGCCCACGCGCATCATTCCCCCCCAAGAAGAAAACTGGGTCGGCCCCTGTGCTATTTTGTGGGACATTCACCAGTTGAACATTTCCGCAACAAGAGGAACCTCATGTTCAGTTTGGTTCACAAGGCGACTTTCCAACCAAAATGCCCTTCAAAACATCGAACGCGAATCAAAGCTCGTAAAGAGATTTGGAGGCCCCCCAGAAAAACCAAAACAAACATCAAACTCTTACAGAAATTCGGAACCCCGCAAAACCAATGGCCATGTTGTCCCTCAAACCCAAACATTTCAAGCAAGTGGGGATGTTTGGGGTCTCGCTACTGAATATTCAGTTCACATATGTATACGTAATATATATATATATGTAGAGAGAGAGAGTATATATAAATATATATACAAATGTGTTTGCTCATGAATCTTTCTAGGGAACCACCTCAAAGTGTTTGTGGACATGCATCCCCACCTAACTGATGTCCACCGAAGGCTCCCCCCTGTCACTACTGTATTTATTTATACAACATATGTATATATATATATGTGTGTATATATATCCGCCGACATTGCTCGGCGTGTCGGACACCTAAGAGAGGATAGAGGATAAACCCCCCCCCTAAACCCCCCCCCCCCACCCGACGTCTGATACGTGGGGGGGGGGGGAGGGGGGGGGGGGGGCCCCCCCCCCCCCCCCAAGGACCGCGCGGCAATTTGATGACGTTCCACTAAACGTAGTCTTCGGGGAGCCGGTGTCGCAAAACAGGGGTCCCAGGCTCGATTCCCCCTGCCGGCTTTTTTGCTGGCTTGGGCTTCCTGCATCCTTTTGCCGAAAATCTGGAAAAACTCTGTGTTTTTGGACATCCTCTTTGCGAAAACGCTGGAAAAACAGTGTTTTTTGCGGGAAATACTGGGGAGCAAAGGGGAAGTGCAAGGATACATACATACATACAGACATACATACAGACAGACATACAGACATACATACATACATTACATTACACAACATCACCTTACATTACTTTAAATTACATCACATTACATACATACATTACATTACATACATTACATACATTACATTACATTACATTACATTACATTACATTACATTACATTACCATACATTACATTACATTACATACATACATACATACATACATACATACATACATACATACATACATACATACATACATACATACATACATACATACATACATACATACATACATACATACATACATACATACATACATACATACATACATACATACATACATACATACATACATACATACATACATTACATTACATTACATTACATTACATTACATTACATTACATTACATTACATTACATTACATTACATTACATTACATTACATTACATTACATTACATTACATTACATTACATTACATTACATTACATTACATTACATTACATTACATTACATTACATTACATTACATTACATTACATTACATTACATTACATTACATTACATTACATTACATTACATTACATTACATTACATTACATTACATTACATTACATTACATTACATTACATTACATTACATTACATTACATTACATTACATTACATTACATTACATTACATTACATTACATTACATTACATTACATTACATTACATTACATTACATTACATTACATTACATTACATTACATTACATACATACATACATACATACATACATACATACATACATACATACATACATACATACATACATACATACATACATACATACATACATACATTACATACACATACATACATACATACATACATACATACATACATACATACATACATACATACGAGAGAGGGAGATTGGGGAGAGAGTGGCTTGGGGGGATGGGGAGGATGGGGAGCGGAGGGAGGGAGAGAGGACGACAGAACACACCAGGGAGACAAGGGAGAGAGGAAGAAGGAGAAAAGGGAGAGGACAATGTCGGCGGACTGAGCCGGAGGCTCTAAAGTATATGTGTGAGCGAGCACCTAGGTTGAGAGGGATAATTGCATAAACGTAATATATAATGCATAATCGATATGTGTATATATATATATATATGTATAACGCAATATATATATATATATATATATATATGTATACACGTATACATATATACAGATTAAACATATATATATATATCTATAATACATAGGTATACTGTCACTCACCACGTTGCTTGGGGCTGACATGTGAGCCGAAGCGCCACCAAGGCTTTGGAGGCGATCCAGGTGAAGGCCACCCAGGAAGCCTCGAACCGCGGGATCCGCTTCAGTTTCACTTCCCTCGCCGCGCACATGGCTTTTTGTTTGTCTTTCCTTTCAACAGGTGCCATGTCAGTGGGGGTTCATGTGTTTCAGGTGTTTTTTTGCTTTTGTTTTTTTCCTTAACGTACTTTGAGGGGGTTCATGTTGCGTTGTGTTTCATGTTCTTCCTTGTTCCATAAATGAAATGATGCGTGATTCCTTTGAAACATTGCTTGAACAATAACGATTCCGGAAGGAGTCGAGTTTTCACATTGGTTTGAATTGGAACGATCCATGGAGGAGACGAGCCTCCACAATTTGCTTGTCAGCGAGCACCGCCGCAAAACAACGCCTCACCCGTAGGGCAACTGGATCTCTGCAAGACAGAAGCAAACAACTTCAGTGGAATCGAAACAGACTCAAACAATTGCAGAACCAAAATTATTGCACAATTTGCCCCTTACCCACTTCTGAATGGATTGCCCAAAAAATGTCTAGCAACTTTTCAGATGCCACAAAATTAGTTGAGTGGTCCCAAGCCAAAAAGTGACTAAAGTTCGGGAACTCAGGGGGTGAGTTTAAAACTGATGGGTTTCATGTTGGACTAGAGCGCAATAACGACTAAGGCACACATGGGGCTTGTGGGCGGTTTCGGGGGGCCTGTGGAAAGGAGAAAACCTTCCAGAGATCCAAGCACTCCGGAAAATGTGCTTCGGCAAAAGAACATGGGGCTCAAAAAAGAATTCTCCGGGGCCAGGTTCAATGTGAATCTGCAACAGTGTAGCTACCTTGCCATGGAATCCGACTTGGGGGTTCTGAAAGATTGTTTTCCTCCCTAACCCACAAGAGGGCATCGTCATGGTATGAAAGGGCACACACACACACTTGCGTCATCGTTCTCATATTCCTGGCGGTGGGGGGCAAAAACAAGAGGAGCAATTGTTACACCATTTGTTCATGGGGAGTTTAGTGTCAGAGGATGTTTGAAGGGAAGCAAAACCAGAAGTTTATGTCAGACATTCATTATTTGAAGCACCCATTTGTCCCTCTTCCGCTTCTTCAAAGCTTTCCCAAACGACAAAGCTTCTATATATCAGGTTCCATTGAATTGTCAACCTCTCCCAATGACCCTTTGAAATGATGATGAAAGCTGAAACGCAGCCCCAAAGTGTCGAAAACCCCTTCCAAAAAACGACCTTGCAGGAGTCCAGTTCACTTCGTAAAGGGTTGGGGGGAACCCCGCTGGGCCCGTTGATTCAAACGTCGTTCTTGTGATTTCAACCGCCGTTCTTTAACTATGACGCTTGTCAACCGTCGCTCTTTGCAAACCAGTTGTTCCCGCTGGTTTTAATTGGGATCGAAGCCAACCGGGTCCCCAAAAGGAGATTCCGCTACTCGCTAAAGGGTTCACCTGGTGGTTTTCTGGAACGCACGTTGGGCTCAGAATCAGGAAGTTCTTTTCCGGGAATCCACCAACCATCCTTATGTCGCAAGCAGAAGCTTCCTTATTTGAAGAGGGACCGGTTTTTTGTTGAAAAGATGGACATGAATGACTACGGCTTGTGATCTCACTGGAGCCCTGAAAAAAGTCCTGAGCTGTTTGTTTAGGGGCTCAAAGAAAAGGAACCAGATGGCTCTCCAAGTCCAAAAGGATGCAAATGGTACATAAACCGACCAGAAACTCAGGGTCAGCTTCACTCTAGTCGGTGATGTGGTGGTTAGGTGTTCCGGAAATAGGTTCCCATTTACCCACAAGAACCAGCGGGGGACAAACACAAGTGGGATATAACCTAGGTTGCCAACAACTTACTAACTCGGCGAATCGAACACCCGAGTGAGTCACAATCAAACCCCGGTGTTAAAATGGTCTACCCAGAACCACGTAGAGAACTAAGAAGGCGGATATCCGCAGCTATTTATTGGGATTGTCCCTTACTAACCTTCATCTACCCGAATCGGTTTTGAGCACGAGGCTCAAGTGACTTACAACTTACTTACTTACTTACTTACTTACTTATAGCGCAAAACAACTTACTTACTCGCTTGGCGAATCCAACCCAAGTGACTTACAACAACTTTCGCGTTTTGGGTTCAGGGAGCAAAGCCGCCATCTCCTTCGTCCAGGGGAAGCTCCGAGGTGCCGTTCGCGCCTAAAAACTCCCCGCCTCAGCGCGAGCGATCCGCTCCGGAACGAGACGTGTGCTGCTTGGACTGCTCCATGGGACTGTTTTGCAGCTTGGGACTTTCCTTTTCACAAACTCACGGCTTTGAAGGGGGTCTTGCAAAGGGGGAAGTGCCCTTTGATTAGCTGGGTTGTCGGCTTACAACCTGCTTTTTGAGGGCCATTCAGTATTCAGTGAGAATGACCGGCCAAAAAACAACAATGTTGGTTTTTCTTCCCGGTTTTCCAGCGACACAAAGGGGTTCTCATGGGTTGCCAGAATACAACTCGGCCCAGTTTAGGAAGACATCCTCAAAAATACCCGAGTTTAGTTGCGATTTGGGAGGTTCCTATCTGCAGCAACAGGCCCGCAGAAAAAAATGGCTGCCACTGTTTGCTCCCCCTACCGCCACACTCAATCCTTGGAGGGAAACGGTCGATACAAACCTGGCCCCTCCAAGGACCCTTTTTTGCGACCCACCACGTTCTTCGGCCGGAAGGCCTTCGGGCTCCATCCGGCGCTGGAGATCTACTGGATCGGATTTGGTTTTTGGAGGGACCCGCCTGACTCGGGAAACGCGGGAGCCGACGGCCCCGAGCCAAGCCGACTCTGCACGCCGAGTACAGCTAAGACCCTCTCGAAAGGAGGCTGAATTCGGGGATGCGGTTCAGGTTGCCGCACATCTACTGCTGTGGTTGTCAAAACCAATGGGATCCCATTTTTGGGGTAGGCGCACCACCCGTTTTAGGCTTTATTTTAATGTTCACTGGGGGTACGATTTGGGTTTTGACCCATGGCCATCGAATTGCACAGAAAACCCGTTGGATCAACTTTTGGATCTTTGGCGGATCTTTGAGGGGAATGAGCCGAGCAGCTTCCCTCCAGTTTGGCGCGTCTGGCTTCCATCACCGATCTTCCCATGACCTGCGCGGAAAGAAGCGAACACCTCTGCGCCGAAAAAACCTGAAACAGGGCCCCCTGTAATCCCCCTACACCCCCAATGGACGTTCTTCGGTCCAGGCCTTTCTGAGAAAATTACTTGTAAGAAATCGCAAAGAAATTGGGATTCCTCAGCCACTTGTCTAATGATATTGTGTATGCTTTGAGTTATGTCAAAGCCGAATGTATCGAAAACTGCTGATGATGATGATGATGATGATGATGATGATGATGAGGGGCGACGTAGGTGGCTCGCATCGTGCCCATCCAGGCGGTAAGACCACATGTGCACGGCGCATCGGATCGATCCCAGAAAAACAACTGCACAGCGAAGCGATCACCACGGTGTAGACCCCATCATGACGGAGGAAATGCTCCGAAGTTAAGAGCTTGTGACACAACAGGCCAAATTTGCTGTGAGCTCTGGCGCGATCTCTGAAAAATAGGATTGCAGCCAGGCCCAGAACGAACCTCTAGTGGGTCAAAGACGTGGGGCGACTATGACCCCTGAGCCTGCCGGTGGATTGACTTGGGACAAAGAAGACATGGTGATCTGCTTACCCTTTTGGCCTTTACTTTGTAGTTGGCCTGGTTCCTTGCCTTTTCCCTTCGCCCTCCCCATGTTCTACGGAGCCCTTGCCGATTCTGCCCAAAGCACCCACAAAACGAGGTGAGGCGGAAAAACGGGGTCCAGTGTGGGTCGTCGTGGCTCATTTGGGCCGCTCGGGGCAAGTTTTTTTCAATCTTCAAGGACACTCGGCCCAGGAATGAGATAGGGATGTGTCCAAAGCTCGAGGTCCAACGAAGGCTTGGGTCTCCAAAACCAACCCCTGGTCTAAATCACCTCCCTTTGGTGTCCCCTTTGGTTTCCAGTTCTTCCCTTTGAAGCGGTGTCTAAACCTCTTGCTGGTGCGACAGGTAGGGAATGTGGGAATGAACCTGCAACTTCCCTCAAAGGAAACCACAAGTTGGATGGTTTATCTTGGGTTCCTTCCATTTCTCATTCCCTAAGCTTGGTGCCGTTGACCAAGCCAAGCTCCTTTCAGCTTCACACGCCGGCCTCTTCGCCGATGAGAATGACCAAGCCCCACATCGTAAGCATCACCTGAGACCCCGCCAGCCATCGCCCCACCCCTCCGTCTCTTGAGTTGGTCCCTTTTTGGGGGTGGTTGAAACAGGAAACCAAAGGGAAAGCCGTCATTTTTAGGGCCCACATTGACATGGCCGCAACCATCCCTTGTTTTCCGGCGAGGGGGTGGCGGAACCTCCTTTTGGGGGACTCCTCTAGTTGGTTCCGCGCTCATTTGCAAGGGTGTCAATGAAGAGCCAGGAAACAGGTTGGCATCCCCAGAAGAATACCGCCAGGCTTGTGGTTGGATTTGTAATTTGGTTGGGACACCATTTGCTTCATGTCACGGAAATCAACCGTGGCACAGCAACCCCCGCGACAAATGAAATCAAGAGTTTGACCATGGCCCAAAAAAGCTGTGTTTGACCATGGCACACAAACGGTCCACTGAGTTATGCTTTTCTTCAAACAAGAGTTTTCTACACCCATCTCTGCTGTTTCTATTTAGGGATCCTTTGGCGGACATCAGAAAACACACAGGACCAAAATTGTAGTTGTCCTCTTGGTGTTTTTAAAACCACAAAAGGGACACACCCACATCAGGTCTGGGAACCCCAGATGTAAGGCGCAGGGAGTAAGCTCAGCCGTATGTCTGGCAAAGCAAAAAAACAACAACTTTTGGCCCAAAGAACTCCTCCCAGTTTTTCAATGAAAAGGGCCGAGGTGTCATCCTAGCCTTTGGAGTCAAACCAGAGCCAGGATCGGCTTGCCGGTGCGACAGGTGGGGAATGAGTGAATGATCCCTTGAAGGAAACCATTGGGGGATGGTTCATAGGGGGCATTCCCCATATTTTGAGCACCAGCAAATTGGATCGAGCTCAGAGCCACTCTGGAAATCAGCCTTGTGATACAAGGGTTGTGGATTCCCACAACAGTGTGTTTTTTCGAGGGTACCCCTTTTTTGGTTGGGTTTAACGGGAAACTAAAAGAAAAACCACCCTTTTGGGAGTCACCCCAAAAAAACACCCACAACTACCTTCACACTTTGCAAGGGGATTGATATCAGAGAAAGTGGCACCAAGCTGGGTTGCTGATCCCTGAGCAAAAGATCTAACCCTTAGGTGCTTCCAAAAGGTCTGAGGGCGATTCGGAACCAAAGAAACCTTCAGGTTAAATGGCTTCAGCCATTTCCTACCAGGTCCCGAGTTTGCCCCAAAGGTTTTTTGCCCTGCCCGTCGAACCAGCAAGAAAAGGTCGAGTCTCGAGATGGCTTTTTTTTTGTCTTTGTTGCCCGTGGAGAAAAACTCTGGAAAGCCGAAGATTGAAAAATAGACAAATAGATGAATATATATATATATACACATTAATCAGTGTTATAAGTTATAAATAAATAAATACACAATGAATGAATGGCAAATAAACAAATAAACAAACAACTAACTACAATAATAAATACATAATATGTGAGAAATAAATAAACAAAGCAATATATAGATTTGTGTATATTAAAAAAAAAAAAAAAAAAAAAAAAAAAAAAAAAAAAAAAAAAACTATAATGCCCAGGCGCCAAGACCACGTCGATCTTGGCAGCGCCCTCCCAGAAGAGGTGCTTGATCATGACCTGGTTCAGAGAAACAGCTGAGAAACCGTCGTTGGAGTTGTTTTTTCAAAAAAACAAGGAAAACACAAAAGAACGGGTTGTTTGGAGTAGATTTGCTTCAAGAAACTATTTTTTTGTTAACCCTCATGCTCACATTTTTGGTCTGGTTGTTGAAGTGTTCCGCAAAGCCCCAGGAAAAACCAGGAAAGTCATTCCTGGAACCTCTCACTACGATTGCTCCCCGAGAAAACAAAAAAACGCCAGTAGCCTGCAGCAATCAACACACCGTACAATTGCTGGCAGCTACTCGCAAAGGTTGGACATGTCCTGAATCGAAGTCAGAAAAGTTTGGGAGTACTTGTTTGGTGGTACGCTTGTTTAGCTTCCTGAAAAAGGGAAACTAAAGGACAACCACCAGGGCTACCTCAAAAAAGGTGCACCTTTTAGGAGCAAGTGAGTTCTTTTAGAGACTTCAACCATTCAGAGAGAGAGCTGAAGCATATGCAGGCAGAACATGACTTGCTCATGCAAGATACAGGACATGGTGGATTCCCCAACTATTGCAAGTCGGGACCGCGATTGAACAGCGAGAAATTGCCGTGGGCTTCGATTGGGCTGTGTTGTTCTACGGGAAGCCGCTTTTGCTTGGGAGAAGCAATGCGATACCATCCATGATCCATGGTATATTCCCGAAAGCATGGCGAAGGGTTCTTCCGCTGGGTTCACTTGAGTTGTTCTCATGAGAGTCATTACAAGGTGTCATTGCAAGGAATCAGCATCATGAAAGTCATTGCAAGGAGTCATTGCAAGGAGTCATTGCAAGGAATCATCATCATGAAAGAAGGAGTCATTGCAAGGAGTCATTGCAAGGAGTCATTGCAAGGAGTCATTGCAAGGAGTCATTGGAGTCATTGCAAGGAGTCATTGCAAGGAGTCATTGCAAGGAGTCATGGCAAGGAGTCATTGCAAGGAGTCATGGCAAGGAGTCATGGCAAGGAGTCATTGCAAGGAGTCATTGCAAGGAGTCATTGCAAGGAGTCAAGTGCAAGGAGTCATGGCAAGGAGTCATTGCAAGGAGTCATTGCAAGGAGTCATTGAAGGGGGTCATATGCAACTTGCATTTTAAAGCAACTTGCGCAGAGCAACTTGCGCAGAGCAAGTTGCACAGAGCAACTTGCGCAGACCAACTTGCACCGACCAGTTTGCGCAGAGCGCCTTGCCTAGAGCAACTTGCGCAGAGCAACTTGCGCAGAGCAACTTACGCAGAGCAACTTGCACAGAGCAACTTGCACAGAGCACCTTGCCTGGTGCTGTCTCGCGCTTGCTTCACGAATGCTTCGTGTAGGGAAAAAGAACGCATCCTGCAGCGTTGGGCCGACCTCGCTTGCGATGTTCTGCTTTCGGGCCAACCGTGGTCTAGTGTTTCGTTTTTATTTGGGGGTTCCTCAACAAATGGACTTCAACCAAGGCATTCTCTCTTTCAGAGGAAGGAACCACCCCTGAAATGCTTGCTCAAAACTGGGGCCTCTGCCTCTAGCGGGGAACAGGCCACATGGATGCGGGGAACAAGACGCCCCTTTGACAAGCTGCGTGGATGATGTCGTTTTGAAACAGCTCCAGGCAGTTATCATTCTTGTGGTCGCAGAGCGCTCTGAACCTCAGTGCCATCCATTCAGAGGGTTCAGCCGTTGGTGGCTTGGATTGGTGGGTTGGGGATTTGCACCAATGGTTCTGAAGTCAAAAAAAGGGAAACGATGAACCTTTAAAATTGCTAATCCCAACCACCAAGAAGGGATTACCTGACATTCAGAGGGCACCATTTACAAACACCGCCGCTCCAACTCAAGGGGCATCGCGTTCTTCCGGGGTACAGTCTGCGGAAGTACGAGCTGGAACTGGGTGCTCCTTGAATGCTTAGGACTTTGGCTACCACACCCCGTTTGGGAATCAAATCGGCAATGCCTGTTGCAATGTCCAAGGCAAAAACGAAAAAATGCCATTTGGGTTTTAGTATTCCAGGCCGGACTTTCCGCGAAAGGAAAATCAAAAAGGTAAATTGTGAAAATAGTAAGTTTTAAGCTAAGGCAATGTTGCAAGGGTTCCATGGTTACAGCTCCAACTTGGTCCACTGGCAGTGGGGCGCAATTAGGTGCATTGAACAACCAACTGAACCATGACTTTGCTAAGGGAAATCAAAACCAAGCGGCTCATTTCCAGAAACTTCATGGCATTCTGGCCCAATGGCCAAGGGGAATGGTGTTGTTGCCGGCTATCTCAGCAGCGAATTTGCTCAGGGAATCTTTTTGGGGTCTTCGTTTTGAACACGGCACGAGTCATGAGCCTATGAAAAGCCCTGCCGTAGGCGTTATTATGTGGCTAACGGGTGAATGCACTCCCGGAGACTCCTAGGAGTCGCTCTGAGCCAACCCGCCACGTGAGACTTTGCGTCTCACGTGGACTTCCTGAATCCAAACTGACGTGGACGTTCGGGCCTTGAGGGCGACATGGCTTCCTTTCTGGGGCACAAGGAAGGAACGCTTTGTCGCGAGACTCGGCAAAATGTGTTCCAACTGGCCTGAAGCAGGTGCTTCATGGGACAATTCCAGCACGGCCCTTCACCAAGGCCTTCTTCCCCATGTAGGCAGTCTTGGGTTTGGGGCGAGGTTCTGGGCAGGTTGCCGGGCTGTGGACACTTCTTGGGCTACTTAAAACGGAACTCTCGTAAGATGTTCCCGCGATGTCCCCTCGAAACACTGCTCCACTCAAAGAAAGCTCATTTTGCAGTGGCCCAAAAGTGAAGCTTCCATCGCCCAGCAAGGGAAACTAGCAGGACCCCTGCGAGCCCAGGAACACTTCTGCGCAAAGGAGGTTGGGCAGCTGCACAACGCGGATCTCCGCGTCCTCGAGCGAAAAAAATGGGAGATGTGCAGTATATGCATGTACCACCCATTGTTCTCTTCGGGGGCAGGTTGGCGACTTCCCAGTTTGGCGGCTTGGTACCTGCTTGGATTTGATTCAGCACAAGGGAATCGGATCGCATTCGATCATTGAGCCTTGTCCGAGTCCGTTCAGCCTAAAGATGCCTGAAGGCCGGCTTCAAAGCCCGAACAAGGTCTCCCCTTTATGGTTTTGCAGGGAAGCAACGGTACAACAAAACATGAACATGGTGGGACCTCCCAGAGTTCGTGGGCGGTTGCCTGCCAAAGAAAACTTCCAGCCGCTGCGTTGCCTTGAGTGCTTTCAGATGTTGTCTGCCCAGGGTCCCACCCAAAGAGTAGAACCGATGAACATGGCCAAGAATGGAAACCTTAGATCTAAGTCGAACTCCTGGTTGACTTTGATCGGAGAGTGCCCCCTTTCATGGGGATTCATCACTTTTGGAGGGGAACCTCCCTCCCTTGTGATAGGACGGGTTGATAGATCCGGGGTCAACATGAGGCGTTCTCACTCGTCAAACGAGATTCTCCCAGATACCCAAATAAGTCATCTCTCCCAAACCCCTATTGGACTGGCTGCACCTCAAACCAGCTACCCCCTCCCCCCTTTGGATGGTGAACGACAAAAATGGTTGCTTCTTCCAAGTCCCATGGCGCGCAAACGCCACGGCAAACTGTGCCCTCACCCTCGGCGTCCCTTTGCTTTCCAAACCCAAGGGTCCCAATGAAAACCAAAAACGAAACGCACAAATTTGAAACTGGTCGATTCAAAACAGAACCTTGGGACTTCTAGAAAGAATTATTCACGCCTAGCAAGTGAACAATGCCGTTTGCTTAGTCAACCCAAGGGTCCCCCTCCTATTTTATGTTAGAACTTCTTTCGTTTGAGCTCCAAAAACCCATGCACGACCACTCTTGCAGCCTCTTTCTATATCTCTCTCTCTCTCTCCCTTCCTCCCTTTCTCTCTCTCTCTCCCTCTCTCTCTCTCTCCCTCTCTCTCCCTCTCTCTCCCTCTCTCTCCCTCTCGCTCTCGCTCTCTCTCTCTCTCCCTCTGGCTCTCTCCCTCCCTCTCTCTCTCTCCCTCCCTCTCTCTCTCTCTCTCTCTCTCTCTCTCTCTCTCTCTCTCTCTCTCTCTCTCCCTCTCCCCCCCCCCCCTCAAAACCCTTCTGCCACGTGTCGATGAGGGGAGGCCCGTGGTCGCGGTCGACCCAGGATTGGTGCCAAGCTGACAGCAGAAAAAAAGAAGAAAAACGGAGAAAGCATGTATGCCGCGAATCTACCAGACAAAACTGCAGAGTATTCTTGTTTCTATCTTATGCCAAATGTGGTGTTCATACCTCCTGAACACGTCATGCACTCCACTTTGGTCTGCACTCACGCAGTCCCGGAACCCGGCCGATTCTTTGCCCTCTGCGAGCTTCGACCGAATTGCAACCCCGGCTTCTCACAAAACCCAAGGAACATAGGTGTCCTTTCGGAAGATGGGGCTGGCAAATGTTTAGAACCAACTTGAAACCAGGGCCGTCCTTTATCAACTGCCCTCAAAATGAGCATGCCAAGGAGCCGGAGCTGGTTCCTGGACCATGGTTCTACCCGAGCTGGTTTAACCCATCCAGGAACTGACGCGGCTAAGGAACCTGATTGAAGCCCCCTGTGACCGGTTTACTCGGGGGGAAAATCATCTTCTGGGTGCCATGCAGGAAGATATCCTTTGAGAAAATGGCTCCACCAGCATACTGCACATCATAAGCGCTGATGTAACCACATCTTGCGTACTAAACCACCTTTGGATTCCTCTTGGTTCCACTCTCCACCAGACACCCCCCCCCCCCACAAATCCTTGGTCAACGTACCCCAAGGATTCACAAAAAGCTGCTTCCCAAACGTTGACGCCTGGAAAGTATGCCTAGAGCATTTCATCAACCACCCGAGGCACCTCGCTTGGGGAATTCCATCTTTGGCAACCCCCATCCCTTTGAACATCTTTCAACCTTTGAAGCACCTCATGTCCCTGGCAACCCTCAAACCCTCCCCATCTCGTGGACCACATGCTGAAGGAACTGCAGTCCACGCCACCGACCTCAGAAGCGACTATGCCACAGCCTTCGGCCGGAGTGCCCCTACTTCAAGGGATACCCTCTACTCAGATAGACTACCAGATAGCTCCATAGACTTTCCTTGATCTCAAGGAAAAGAAAAAAAACCCGTCCCTTAAGGGATACCCCCCCATTCCTTTAAACAAGTTGCGACGTTTCCCGTTGGCGACGAGCTCAGCTTTCGGGTTTCGGGCCCTGCCTGGCGCCTTCCAGTGCAAGCCATCGAAGTTCCAGAGCTCCTCTGGCTGGTATTCCTCGGCCAAGTCTCGGTGTCCAACGCCAAAATTTGGCCGGTACCAAAACCTGCGGTTAGCCCCTCCGATCGTTTAATTTTGAGGCACACCCAGTTGAGTAGTCAAAACCAGGTAGCAAAATGGTCGTAATCCCAGAACTTAGTGGAACGCATGAAGAAGGCGGATATCCGCAACTGTTTCTGGCTGGGACTGCCCCTTAATGACCTTCAGCTACCCGGGTTTTGATTGTGGCACATTTGACAGAAGAAAGAGTTCAAATGTCTGGCTTCTGGGCTTCACTGGCACTTTTTATTTTAAAGAAGAAAAAACAAAAGTGTCGAGTTTTGCTGACTCAGGAGGGAACCCAACAAGGTCCCGCACAACGAGACTCGTCTAATGACTTGGCGGGTACCAATTCTACGCTAGCGGTTTGGTCATCTTACCCTGCAACCAAGATGCACCACAAAATCCCAAGCGGAAACTAGAGCAAACCACCCGGTCAGGATCCACGTTGGAGGGTACCTCCTGAAGAACTGCTTGGAAAAGGAAACAATCTATAAACAAGAACACTGTAACAACTATCCTGACATATCTGTGTTTTGCCTTGCCGTGATTTTCAAACGCTAAAAACTACCATCCGCCCAGTGCCTTAGATCACCTTCGGCGGAAGTGAAGTACCGGAAGGAAATCGGAATCTCCTGGGGAGATTAAGTGGAGGTCCTCTGAACCCCCATGGCAACCTGCGCGACCTGCATCTTTCGCTGAATCACCGCAAAGGGCCAGGTTCCAGCGAGAGGTTTGTTGTTGTTGTTTTTGTTTTGAGAAGGTATTGCCCTTTTTTGATTTGCCCACTGCGGAGCAACTCTAACCAACCATGGCATGAGTGGTAAACCCACCCTAGATCTGGGCTCCTTTCTCCAAAATGCAGGGGATTACTCCAACCAAAACCTTCCCGATTCATGGAATCCCAGCCCGCGACCTCAACAACTGAGGCCCGAGGCGGGGCAAGTTTGCGGGACCTTCTGAGGAATTCTTGGACCTGAAATGGTGAGATCTCCCTTGTGGCCTCCCCAAATCCATAACCCTCAAAAGGGCTACGGGGATTGGGGTATCCGTCGACCCGGACCACCAGTCCCAGTCTGACTCCAAGCTGCTGTGAGGAAGACTTCGGGCGGGTTGAAGAGCATTCTGATGTAGGCGCCTCCTTACCGAGCTGGAGCTCAGGTTTTCTCGGGTTCCATCAAATGGCCGCATGGGTCCTGGGATGCTACACCACACATGATCGCCCTTTGGTGTAATTTGGAACCTGTTTCTTGGAGCCCGTTTAGGGCCCCTGACTACCCAGGATCCCAGGCTTCCCCAAGGAAGGAACCCAAATTGGTGGATTCAAGGGGCTGCGGCTCCACTTGGTTGCCAACCAAAACTGAAACGTCCCCCACTCAACTGGTAAGGCATAGGTCATACTGTGGATGGACGAAATCCATTGCGCACCACCTAAGACACCCTGGAATGATTTGATTCCCCTGTAAATACCGGCAAGCAATGGTTTCCCATGGTTTCAAACTGGTGCGGTGCTGGATTTCGTCCATCCACCGTAGGCTTCACCCCTGGGTTGCTCCAGATACTGTAAGTTAGGGTCAGATTCTGGAGGAATCCCAGGCAGCGGGGTGACCCATCGGGGAGCCCCGCAAAAACGGGTGGTTTTCATCAGAGGGAACACTCCAAAAACAAACGCGCATGCGAAAACACCCAGAAGCACGCATACACTCCCAGAATGAAGCACACACACACACACACACATACACCCACCCACACACACATACATACATTCTTACTCAAAACCCTTAAAGCGAATACCCAAGCCGTGTCTGGAGCCGCCCGACATCACCTTTCGCTTGAAGCTCTTCCAGCCCACGAAGGGAAGCGGAAAGCGGGAGGGGAAAAGGGAAACAAAGCAATTTTCTAGTGCTACCTTCCCCATTCTTTCTAGAAAACCTCCGGAAACCCAGAGAAACGGCCGGTTTTTGAAAAGAGCGATGGTTGGAAAGAATGGGGAATCAACCCTTAGAAATGTGAAAAGGAAAGGGACACTGGGGAGGAACAAAAACGAACGGAAACAAACAAGCAACGTGAGAGGCAAAGAGACTGTCGCCTGTCGGAAACAACCTGCGCACCATGGTGCGCCACCGTGTCTCTTTCGGCAAAGGGCTTGCCAAGCCTATGGTTTTCCGGAAGGCAGAAGCGTCCGAACTCCCTCTGAAAGCCATTGTGTTGGGTAGGCCACATGAATTCTCAAGTAAGCTTCCCTTGTGGCTTCCCGTGTTAACTCTTAACCCCAAAACTAGTGCAATGAAAAAAGGTCACAACCCCCTAAGTTGGGCCTAAATCAGGAGAATGGGTTTGCGGGGGTTTGCAAAACCACATTACTTGGTTGGCGTTGGAAGGGGAGCAAAAATGGAAATTTTAGCAGTTAAGTGGTTGGATTTCAACCACTAAACCACAATAAGCAAAAATGGGGAAAATGCTTCCCGTTGCAACAACCATGAATAAGTCATGATCACAGTCGGATGCGTGAACATAATTCCACCCTTTCAAGAACCCGCCAAGTTGGCCTCGCAGATTCTTCCGGCTGACCGCTCGAGTCCCCTGCGGGTGCGGGGGGCGAAGCTGACCCGCGTCGGCAGGGGGTGCCAGCGCTGGTTGCCCTCGGAGCGAGTGGCATGTCGCGAGCCGCGAGCCGGCAGCTTCGCGGGAAACCCGGGGTCGCCAAAACGTGGAAGTTCAACAAACAACTCCGGCGAATGTTTCCAGAAAAACGGGCGCTGTTCCCATCTCACGCCTTCTGGTGCACAAACTCATGCGTGTGAGGGCGCTTAGGGGTGTGGCCGGGAAAACAAGCGTGTGAGGGCGCTTAGGGGTGTGGCCGTGAAAACAAGAACAGGCCACCCCTTTTCCAGCAGTTCAGGCCCGCTCGCCACATCCAGGGACATGGAAAAAAACCGCTGCAAATCTGCCCAGCCAGCAAATTTCGGACCGACGGCCGGCCATCACTTTACACAGGGGCCTCCCAAACGCTCGAGGCCTGTCCCCATGGGGGGGCGACGTTCTTGCTGGTGCAGTTGACAGGGAATGAGAATGGAATGACCCCTATAAGCCATCCAGCTGGTGGTTTCTTTCAAGGGGACCCCGACCCTGGGTTCATTCCCTCATTCCCTACCTATCGCACCAGCAAGCTTTCCACTTTTGGAGAGAAACCATCACAGGCGCCTTTACTGTTCCGACGCCCGCTTCGGCGTGATCGCCATCTCCCTCACCCAAGGCCAGCCACTGCGGGGGGTTCAGCAAAGTGCGGCTTGAAACTCCCGATCCATTCCTCCATTTGCTTAAGACCCCTAAAAAAAAAATGTTCCCAGTAGTGATAGATTCCCTTTAAAACCAACAGGGGAAAAACAAAAGACATATGATTTTCAGCAAATGGAAGCATTCGGCTCACATCGTCCGTATCCCGCTTCCTCGCATCGTCGGCCTGCTCATGATCCGCAAGGCGCGCTTGTCCGAGCGCAATGTTTTCTGAATCCCCCGCTGTGCGGTCTGTAGAAGACGGACTCAAATGTTCACCTCCCCTCAGAGAGCAACATCAAAACGAAAAAAGCCAGCCCTTAGAAGAAGGCTGCATAAGTCCTCCATCCAAGACCTCCAGTGGCCATGGGAAAGAACGGGCGCCCGTTTCGGGGTTGAGTTTAGAAGGGGCCCTCCCTCCCAACAATATGAAGAAAGCAAATGCCCTAGTTGGGCTTTGCTTCCAAAGACATTGTAAAGTCCAACGAATCAGAGTTTCAGATTCCCCCTTCCAATGGTGCGATGTTTGGGCAATATGCTGTCATCGTATTAAAGTTGATGCTCGCATTTGCCAGCTTTGTGACCTCTTCTTAAAGTTGATGCTCGCGTTTGCAGCTTCGTATGTTCATGCGAGCCACAATGGGGAAAATTGTATCTGCTGGGCTCTGTCCGCAAGTTCCTACGCGCCTCTCGGCTCGAGCTGCGCGCACACGCCTCCCCTTCGAACGCCTCTCCGAGATCCTCTCAAAGGAAACCGCCATTTGTATGTTTCAGTTTGGGCTCATTCCCTACCAATCGAACCAACAAGACCAAGCCAAAAAGGTCATTCCCTCACGCTCTGCTGTTTCACCAGCAATTCTTGGCTCCCTTGGGTGGCTTTCTCCACGTTTCCCAAGACCGCCCCAAAACCCGGTTGGCGCTCCGTCGCCCGCGTCGCCCGCGTCATCGTCTCATGGCGTCCCGGCGCACTCGGGACTGTCGGTGCACCCGTCCAGCAGCGCTAGGGCGGCCAAGGGCTCCTCCTGCAGCACCTGACGCCGAAAAAACTGTAAGAAAAATAATAATAATAATAATAATAATAATAATAATAATAATAATAATATAATACAATATAATATAATATAATATAATATGCCCAAAGAAGCCAAATAAGCCCTGAACAAGGCCTAGGGTTTTGTTTGGGCTCCCCTCCCCTCCCCACCCCACCCCACCCCAAAAAAGGAGTCCTCCCCAATCAGGGTTCCTTTTTTTGACTACCCCAAGATAGACTTAAACCCAGTGCCCCGTTTGGGGGTAATGAACCAGCCCCAATCTCTATGGTCAACTTGCTGGTGCTCAGGGAATGACCCAGTCCTGGTTTTGGGAATGAACCTTAGAGGAACAACCCCCCATTGTTAAGGGGGCCCTTTGAAGTTGTGAATCCGTTTTTTTTTTTTCTTTTTTTTTTTTTCTGGGGAACCCCCCTCAAGCGTTTAGCAAGCAGGGGTCAACATTATGGTTCATTGGCCTGGACCCCCAATCTCGATGGATAAGGACCCCCAAAAAAGTATGTTGGGCGACTAGTGAGGCCGTTTTTGGAGGCTAATAGGCTCCTGGTAGGTGCCTTGATTTTTTTTGGGGGGGGGACCACCATGGGCCCAATACATTGGCACGAGATGCGCTGGTTCATACAATTAGCAATTCATATTCATCAAATAGCCCCTTTCCTCTGCCTTTGTATGGATCTGTCAAAGGTTTCCTCGTTTAGAAAGTCACTCTGAGCTTCTGTTCAATCAACTACGGGTCTTTTGATTGTGGTACGTATTTAGAGACCCCTGGACCAAAGCCCGTAAGGCAAACCCCAAACAAGGAGCAAATAGGAGTTGAGAGCGAGCAAATGAGGGGTCAACAAGCGGGTGAATGAGGAAGATAGGGTGTCTTAGGATTCCAATTCTTGAGTGCCTCACAAACCAAGTAAATCTACCCTTCGCGGGAATCATCAAATGTAAGGTGCCGAACAATTACAAATATGATTCTCGTATGACCATGACTTCTGGCGTTCAAGTACCCCACAAGCCTAGTCAAATTATTTCAGCCCCTATGGTACACCTTGTGCAAACAATGAAAGTCGACAAGGGGGCCTGTTCAAGAGGATGGTTCGTCTTCAAAATCATTACTATACGTCCATTGTTGCAGGACGGCAAGGTCTCGCTAGGCAAAATTGAAACGACAAAGTTCGCGAAAACAATGGTGAAAATCAAAATCCGGCAAAAAAACATGATCCACCCTGGGTCGCAGAGTTGCTCCGATTTCCCTCACCCAAAAAAGTGGCTCCCGGAGGGAAACCACAGGACCCCCAATACAAACATGTGCCACCCTTGTGCTTTGGCCATCTGCGCTTACACCCCCCCCCCTCCCGCCCTGGCCGCGCGCCGTTTTTAGACGTGAGCCAAGAAAAGGGTTTGCCTTACCTGGGCCCAGCCCGTGGCTACTTCTAGAACCCAAAGAGGCAAGCAGCAAACCTTCCGCAAGCTGACCCCAAGGCTGCCTGTAGTAACCATTTTCGGCACTCCCGCTTCGGATCGAGCGCGAAGCCCAGGTGGATTGGTGCGGATGCCTTTGTTTTGTTTGCTACCCAAATTGACCCAACCAGCAACCGAAGTCCAGGATCTCAGTGAATTTCAAGGGCGCAACCCTTTAAACAACCACAGGATTGTTACGCAAACAGTGGCAAACAAAGTCCAGGATCTCACGTGTTCTTAAGGGAAAACCCCTTTAACTAGCCATGACTTGTGGGTGGCCTTGCCTTGGCGATGTGCACGTTGGTGAGCTTCCGCCTCACCTCGCCAAATGCCTCCTGGCAGGTGACAAGAGGAAACGGAAAGCGCCGCTGTCCTGGTGGAAACAGGGCGAGAAACAGATCCTTCGGTTCAGCGGAACATGTTGGCCGCGGATCCTGCTTTTCAACCACCAAAAAACAGCCGCGGTTCACCACGGCTTATTTTGATCCAAATTTGACGGCGGAAAAGAATGGAAAAGGAGTTCACCCCTAGAAACATGGGAAGTTCTCAAAATAATGGTCTCCCAACATGGCTTGGTTCCCTTCGGCCTCCCTTCCCTGCAAACCAATCCATCCGCAGCCCTTCGAGAAAGATCCCCATGGTGTCGAACAAAACAATTCAAATTTGATCTGTGGCGTTGCTGTCGAATGCTCTTGGACTACTTTTTGGAGCCCTCTCCCTTCGGGAAATGGACCCCCGGACTCCTGTTTGGGTTCCTATGGTTCCTTCTGTGCAGAGCAAACAGGGGCCCGCAAACCAGGACGGCATTGGAAAACGGCTTTCGCTGACCCCGTTTTAGGGAACCGGAGGCTTGAAAGCGCCACTGCACTCCGTGCGCTCGTTGGAAAAAGTACCCGGTCCAACCCCGCAAGCATCGAACCATTCAATTCAGAGGCAGCTTCGTCTGATCCTTGGCATTCAGACGGTGAAATCATCGTTCAGGGACCGTAGATCCTGGGGAGATGGATCCCACATCACGAATTCTAGGACTCGCCCTCGTTGAACATTTCCAAGCAGACGCGTTCTCTCGTTTCTTTCAAGGCCTCGTTCTGTCGCAGACGCTCGAGGAACGATGGGATCACCTGGGGACCTCGGCCAAAAACGCATGCGCACAAATGGGTGGCTCACAAATGGGTGGCTCGGTCTTTTTGACGAGAATCGGACCCTCTAAAATGGCTTCGGCTTTGCTGTTGGTTTCTCTTTAAAAGCCACAACAAAAGGGTACCCTCCAAAATACAGGGCCAAACAACCCCACATGTCTAGCTTAACAAAACCATGGACGGCAGAAGGCACGTGCACCCACGAGCGTCATGAGCGCACTGGCCAAAAAGAGTCTGAACTGTTTGTGTACACGCTAAAATGGTCTTCCCAAAAAGCAGAGCCCAGAAACTGGGGAAGTGAGTGCTATGCACTAAAAGGGGCGAAGCCATGTCAATTTTGATCTACATCTACGACCCGCCGGGAAACTTACCCCATATCCCATGAACTTGGGCTGCTTACCCCGCAACATCAATAACTTAGCCCATTTGCAAAACTGCAGGGTACACCACATCAAGAATGTGTGTTTATGTTGCGACTGGCTTCTTCGGCTGGATTGGTCCTATGCGTTTTCACATTAGCTTCTGCTCGTCTGAGCTAGATGGTGCGCTTAAATACTGCTCGAACCATACCCACGAACACATGCACAATTCACCAACAAGTGCTACAATATTGCTAAGTTCCTTGTTCATAGCAGCCCCTATGCATCTCAAGCAACAATCTTCCAAAAGCAACTGAGAGCCAATGTGTTCACCTGGCTCAAGCCGCAAGCTTTTGTCTTGTCATTGTTTGTTCTTGCGTCTTTCTTTGTTCTTCTTTCCCCCCTCTCCTCTTTCCTCTTTTTGCTTTCTTGCATCGTCAGCAACATCTAGGCCTGCAACTGGCCCTCAACATTCAGTGCATGGGAAAACTTGAGAAAATCCTGAGAAATTGTTGGGCCCATCACAATTCCCGGGATCATTTGGCCATGGGTCAAAAATAGGTACCCAAAATGGAACCTGGCAAACGGAACCAAGGAGTAAAACCTGCGGTCCCCTGGTGGTTGAATTTTGACCCATACCCATTGTTTTCCTCTCCAAATGGCTTCCTTGTTGGTTTCCATTTACGTACAACCAAAGGCAATGACCGAACCTGGGTGCAGTTTGAGGAGACCACACACTCACCATTTACCCGGAACCTAGTGGGGGGGTCTTTGGTCGGGGTGTCTATGGATAAAGGGCCTGTCATCTGTGGTTTTGGGGCATATATAAAAGGTTCTGACTCGACCAATGTCTGGTTTTGCTTGGGCCTGATGTTAACCTCGGATTGATCCAGCGGACAGGGGTGGTTGCCTTTTAGCCAGGAAATGATCAAATTAATTTAGCGGGTTCTTCGGACTAGTACGGTCTTCCGGATGAATTCGAAGTTTAACCAATGTTGTCTTCTCTGGACCACCGGCTCAACTTGGCCAAAGCACACTCGTGGATGAAGGTGGTCAGAGAGCGCAGCGACACCTAGCGGCTCGCTTGCGTGCGCGCGTGTGTAGGTGTGGTACGTGATGTGGTTTTTGAGGGTACCCTTGTTGATGTTGGCCTAAGGGGAAACCGAAGGATGCAAAGTTTGTTCCGCCGGCCACACAGCTGTGCCTTTGCAAAAACAATGAAAACCCCTCTCAGTCCCCCCAAAAGCATCTCAAAAAGTTGGTGGAATTGAATGGAACCCCTTCTCAAACAGAGGTTGAGGCTCCCCGCTATCCCTCTGAAGTCCCAAGCCCCGAGAACAAGACTCCGAGCCCCACATCGGTATATCGAATCAGGCGCTCTGCTACGATGGGTTCCCTCTTTTAACCAGCCTGACAAGGATACCTTCAACAACAGAGAGACAGAGAGAAAGAGAGAGAGAGAGAGCGAGAGAAGCACGCGAACACACACACACACACAGAGAGAAACGCGCGCGCACCCACCCACCCACTCACCCACTCACCCACCAACCCCCCAACTTTCATCTCAGCTCGGACGCCTCGCAGGCTTCGCTCAAGTCTCTCTCGGACATCTTGCCACCTGCGCGGGCGTCGGCATGGCCTTCAAAGGGGACCATGATTTTTAATCATTTTTCCGGCCCTATTAGCCCAAAAATTCAATGGCTCATGTTCTATCGGCTTCTTCAACAGGAAACCACCTCCAAACAGTATCCCTAGCCCTAATTCTGAGACAGACACACACACACACACACACACACCCACGCCCACGCCCACACGCACATGCACGCGCGCACACACACACACACACACACATGGGCGTGTCTTCTTTTGAGGGTTCCCCTTTTGGGGTGCTTTTAAAGGCAAACAAAAAGGCAAAGCATCATTTTAGAGGTTCCCCAATTTTGAGACACGCCGATATTTCAACCACTTGAGCCACAATCAAACCCTGGCTAAGTGAAGGTTATGGGACAGTCCCAGTCAAAAACAGGTGCTGGAAGAAACCCTCTTGATGGCTTTTGGAGACACTTTACTAGGTTTTGACTTGTGACTCACTTTCGTGATGCCGGGGAGCCTTCCAACTAAAGTCTTTGGTCATTGGGACGCCCTTTCAGTGGTATCCCGTTGTTCGTTGTTCAGTAGCACTCTGTTTCGACTTTTTGTTTGGTAGGTCTCTCACTGAAAGTGAGGAACCCAAAAAAGACATGGTTTCCTTAAGTATGATAGTTCCGAGTGGGTCTCTGGTTGCAACTGGCTACTCCCCGCAGATGAACATGGAACCCCGCAAAAAAAAAACGTCGCATGTGCAGAGGAATCTTCTGCTGGGGGACGAAGTCACCTTTTTCAAACTGCGGTTGCTCTAATCGCACCTTGAAAGGATCCAACTGCGCAGTGCTGACTTTTGGTTCGGACCATGGTTATAAAGATTTGCATTGGCCATACTACTTACCCCTTAAACTCCAAGCCCTGGGGAAGTTAATCTGTTACAGACATATAGCCCATGTTACCCAAAAAGTTACGAAAAGTTTTGTGTTTTTTTAAGAGGTAAGACTATAAACCCCATGAAACCAAGCAGTAGAACCATCAAACCAAACTTCGCGGTTGGACTCGGTCAGAAACCGCTCGTATCGATCGAGAACTCGGATCGATGGATCCGACCTGTGATGCCCATCTCCAGGGGGAGTGCCTGCCGAAACGGCCGGAAAAGGACGTCGGCTTGGAGCTAACCGACCAACGGCAGGGCTGACTCAGAGTGAAAGAGGGCTCCCCCATCCAATGCTTCAGAGTAGCAAGAGCCATGCAGAGGCTAATGGCCCAAAGAGGCCCAAGAGTGGTCCTGGATGGCACTTAGTGGCGTGCAATGGTGCTTAATGTGCTTAATGGCCCTTTCATGGTTTTGAATCCCAAGTGGGGCATGAGGTGTGTTGTACAAACATGTAGATATCTATGGAGCGCACTCCCTCCAACAATCATGGAGATGGGCTTGCGTCCACTTCCAAGAATGAGCCACGGACACATGTGGCTGTGTGTCAAAAGTAAACCACGAGGGGACCGCAGCTTCTAGTCCATGTTTCCTCTTACCAGGGTTCCATGTTTTGACCCACAGCCATGTTGTTCCCCCAGATGCCATGGGAATTCCGGTTCCCCCACCCCTTTCTTGATGTGGAGCTGGGGAACGTGTCTTTTCGGACTCCCAGGTGCTACCAGCCCATTGAATGTGAGTTGCAAAGGCCGACAAGTCCCAGACTTTGGCCTCCAGGTCTTGCCGTTCTCGATCTTTCTCCAAACATAGATTGGCCACCCCCCCAAAAACAACCAGGGGCGCCCGTTGGGAAAGGCCGACAAGAAAGAGTCCGGCGCCTAGTCTTGCCGGTTCTCAGGAAACAAGGGAATGGGCCTGGAAAAGCCTCTGGGCCTTTACAACGGCAGATGGCCGAAGCCGGGCTTTTTGCGTTTGATGGGGGCCAAACTTACCTCAAGAAGGCCTTTTCTGAGCTCCAAAACCGAACGGTCGATCCCGGCCCCGCCAAAACCCTATGGAGCGTCAATGCAACTTGGAGTGTCTCCAATCCTTCCCCCTCCCCCCGCCCCTCCCCCCCTCCCGTTGCCCTGCGCGGGCGCGAGGGCCTTGCCCGGCTCGGTACAGCTCTCGTCAGTCACGTTCTTCTCCTTCATGTAGGTCCGGATCAGCTTGATCATCGCTAAGCTACCTGACGGCTTGAAGCGGGCCACAGTTTTGGTACGGGTCCCCAAACAAGACCGGCCCAGGAAGGAACACCATTTTCGGGGTTTCAACGTGGCGGGTTGTATGCAACACGAGCCACAAATGTTCAAGGGAACACCCAAAGTTCAGTCAGTATCAAGAGAACCAGCGTTGGCTGGCTCGAGGCACCTTGGTTGCCTTCCATGTGTGAAATCACTCAAGGTCCCCAAACCCAACCAACTGACAACCATCCAAAAAGAGCAAAAACCATGAGTCATGAGCCTTGAACTCTTACGGCTTTGCCAACACTTCAAATCAGGGAAAGCCTTTCCTGGGCCAAGCTGTGTGAAACCCGACTTGGCCTGACCGCTCGCACTTGCCTTCAACTGGCTCGGGAAGGTGACTGAGAAATGGGAAGCAAAGGTAGGCTACTGTGCTGCTCCCCTCCAACCCTGTTGCAAAAAACAGTCGGCCTCAACACAAAATCACCCGATATCAATTCTCTATGCGTTTTGGGCAATAGGTTTCGGAGCAATCCTGGTAGCCCCATAGCTTCCCTGTAGGGGACTAGCTCGGCAAAGGCACGACCAACAGTAGATAGGGATCACCCCCAAATGGCTTCGGTCGCAGACACATATGTAGGTGTCTTCTTTTGGGGGACCTCCAAAAAGGAACAGACACACACACACAACGCACACACACACACACGCGCGCACACACAAACAAACACACAGGAAGGATCTAAGCGGCCGGCCTGTGACAAAGGCCATGTGAATGGGATAGTTCCCGGATTGATTCCTGCGAAGCGATCCCGTGCTTGTGCTCGGCAAACCGGATCCGCCGGTTTTCGCTCGGTTTGGTGGTTGAGCCTTCGCCTGCATGGCCGAAACATGTTTTTTGAATGATGGAAAGGTTGGAACACCCTCAACAAATGCTGCGGCCGGCCGCCCAAAAATTGGTAGACATACGTCTGACCACAGGCATTTCCGGATGGAACCTCATCGACAGGAGCTTCACCAGCCGGTCCAACGCATCAGGTCCAAGGCCCCGAACTTCCGAACTGTGCGGCAGCTAGCGGGCGCTTCTCTTGGAGAGGCTCATCATAGGCGGACTTTGGAGCCATGAGGCTGAGCCATGTCCCCTTTCTCACGGCCGTTTTCGCAAGGTTCGATTCCATGCCTGAACCAGGTTGGTACCGAATATCAATGGGCTTTAGGCCTAACTCGCAACAAAATGCGGATCTAAGCTCCCGGTTTGGTTGCAGGTGTTGCTAACATCCGAGGGACTGGTTTCCCGCCGGAGTGAACGACTTCCATTTCTACTTACCCTCTTTCCAAGGATCACAGAATTCTAGAGGCTCAGAGGAGGGTAGGTTTGACCAGACCTTGGCCCATCCATCACCTCTAAAAGCCCTCCTGTCCACTTCCAGAGCTGGCAAAGAGCAAAAGAGCGGAAGGTCTCACCAAGAAACCTCGACATCTGGGGTACACGAAAACTAGTATATGGTTCCATATCTACTCTGCCTTTAAATAAAAAACTGAATTATCTAAAGTCGTTTCGGAGGAGACCCCAGAAGCAGGCTAGCAAGCGCTTGAACCGGACGGCGAACCCTGTCCCCCACCTAGCCAGAAGTCCAATGAGACGATGGGCGAAGAAGCGTGGCCCTATCAGCCAGAAACCAGTGGAGTAAAAAGGCTCGAGGTCCGGAGGAATTCTGGACTTGACACGTTGCGCACTCGAAGCAATTCCCGCAGATCCTCGCCCATGCTCTCATTGTATGACAAGATACATGGCGCCTTCAGGCGCAGAAGACCATCCTACCAGAGAAACTGAGGAGACACACAATCTTTGGGAAGGAGGAACCAAAAAAAAAGGTTCAATCCTTGCAAATGCACGGTTTTTGCTCCACTCCCAATCGTTGGTTGCCCTTCTTAGGGTTCAGGGACCAACTTGTTAGACCTGCCGTGGGGGTCCCACGGGTTCTGTGTTTTGAGACCAGCCCCAATTATCTTTTTCTGCAATTTGTCAGTCCTTCCCCAACTTTGTTTCACCTTGTCAAGAAAACCTATGGCCTAAAGACTGATTCTGGCTTCCTCTTGAAGGTCTACCTCCACCCTCAAGTTGAAGGAAGCTCACCTGGCTTTGGCCCAAACGAAACCTCCCAGAACAGAGATCTGGAGAGCTTTCTACGGATCTCCTGGTCAGCTCCGCCTTTTGCTCCATGAGGTACCGGATCATGTCCTGAAAAATGTCGGTGCCCTCACCCCTGCATATGTATGTACACAGAGGTTTTCTTCTAAAGGGACCTTGTTCTTCAGATTGCCATGGGAAAATGGGAAAGGCCCCCCCTTTGGTTGGCAGTTAAAGTCATTCGAGGGATCCCCCCTAAGAATAATGAAAATCGGGAGATGCGGAGAAGGGAGCCTTGGATGTCTTTCCGGGACTTCCCGAAGCAGAGATAAACATTTGGGCCCCGAGAAAGGTTCGATAACCTCGTGCCATGGGCTTTAGCACCAGAAAAACCAAAGGAAACAAAGGAACCTGACCCAAACTTCTCGAAGAAACTAAGCTGGACGAAAACCTGAATAGGCTCGGAGCAACCGGGCTAAAAGGTAAAAGGACTCTTAGGATCATGACAACAGCTTATTGAAAACAATTTGGCCCCAAATTGTTGAACAATACCTTTTCTGTGATACCAAAGTGGGCTGTTCCTTTGACTCCCCGTTCCCTTGGTTTCATCGAAAAGTGGGATGAACATCCCTCACATCTACCCCTTGTGTCCATGTTGTTGCTTGAGCTTCCCTTGCAAACCAGCTGCAAACAAAGGCGCGGGTTTAAATCCCTTCTCCCCCATGGGAGAAAGTGTACCACTTTGGGGAGTTGATTGCAGGGTGTCAAGTAGGCATTCCCTTTGTGTCGGTGAAGATGAACCCATTTTCGTTGGATTTATTGCCTTCTTCTTTCACCCAACTCCAAGGGGACACCCTCGAGCAAAAGGAAAAGACGACAAAACCCTCCGCATGTCTGGGCTCCAAGCCCCAAAAGTCATATGAGACTGGGACTGGAGAGAATGATTATCAGGCCGAAGTTTCACCTAGGACTCCTCAAACATCACCCCACCGCAAATGGGAACATGTGTATGCATATATATATATATATATGTTAAAACCCAAGAAACCAAGAAACCCCATGGGTTTGTCTCCAAAAAGGCTTGGCTTCCACTTGGCTTTCCAACTTAAACCCAACCAAAGGGGGTCCCGGGGAAAAAAAGCGTGAGTTGGAAAGAAAAAACGGTATTAAAACTCTTCTCCCAGGAGGTTTTCATTGCAAATCCAAGCGGCGGTCTTCATAAGAGTGAGGTCCCCCGAAAACATGTAAGTGTATGAGGTCTCAGGTGTGTACACCGCTGCAAATTGTTGCTGGCTGCTGCTGCTGGCTGCTGCTGGCTGCTGCTGCTGCTGCTGCTGCGGCTGCTGCTGGCTGCTGCTGCTGCTGCTGGCTGCTGCTGCAACTCATTGCTGGGATCTGCAGAAACAAAGAAAATGCAAACTACAGAAATGGGCCACTCCTGATCCAAGGCATCTACGACTTGCGCGCGACTTGCGCGCGACTTGCGCGCGACTTGCGCGCGACTTGCGCGAAAATTTAGCAATCTTCCGGATTCTTTCGACCATGCGGATGATGATGATGATGATGATGATGATGATGATGATGATGATGATGATGATGATGATGATGATGATGATGATGATGATGATGATGATGATGATGATGATGATGATGATGATGAATCACTGCGTCACTTGCGCTTCACTTGCGCTTTACTTGCGCGGCCCCATGTTTGACTTGCGCGGCCGCTCCTGCAACACACTCCTGCCATTCAAATTACAAGCGGCGGTGCAGCTAATTTGATAGGTCCAAAAGACCTGGGATCATGCCTGACATTGACACATACAACGGTTTTTTTTTTTTTTTTCCGGCTCACGTGAGGACTGACCCCGACGTTTCCCGCCAGCGGTCCAGCGAGCCGTGCCGCCCCTCGGCGAACACGGCGGCGTGGAAGACGTCGTAGTGCGGCTCGTGGCTGCCTCAGATCGGCCCATCCCATCGGATGGAGAGATCCCAGGCGAGTTGCAATGAGGGCTACCGCCCAAAAGCCGCGGCCCCTGCTTTACAGATCCCACCCCCCAAGAGTTCCGGTGGTTAAGCCTTCTTACGGGAAATTCAGATCAAACTGGAGTTCTTAGATTAATTTAGAACAATACCCTCCAAAATGGCGCTCCCTTCTTGGTCTGCTGAAAACGCATATGTCTTAAATTGCAAAATTGTATCTTTCAAGCCACGCTGATTTAAAGTGCGCTGGAAGTAATATGCCTGGAGTCTGCATGACCCTTAGCAAAATAGGTTCTGGCTTCTTGATTTGTAGGTGTATCAGCCCATTGCTAGTGGGTTTTGCAAGGGAACCCTCGCAAAGCAAACCCAGCATTTTGGGGGATGACGGCAACAGAGCTAGCCATATCGGACAGGGGCAAACAAAACACCTTTTGTAGGATTTTCCAGATTGCAGTGGAACAGCCCTACGTAAAACAAGCCTCTTGATAGGTCTCCTCAGCAGGGAGTTATGCTTGTCAACAGTTGAGCCCAAGCAAGTTTGGCTCCAAAAAAGGGAAGAAACTGCTCAATCTGAGAATACTCACCAAATCTCCGGCTATCCAGAGAGTCAAACAGTACAAGTCTCAATGCGCAGCGATGGTAATGCCGCCCAAAACGGCAAAATCCGGTTTGGGCTGGGACCATTCCCCACAAAAATGTCCTCACTTTGGGTGCTTTAAAAAAAAGGGGGCGATTTGGGTGCCTTACTCCCCCTTGAGTTGGAAAAGGCCGTTGATCTCTGCCACGTGCCAGTGTCTCACACGTAGGGCACATATATCATATGTGACTTGTTGTATAGTGTATGTTTATATATTGCATGTAGGTATTCATATGCTTTGTTTCTTTCCTCTTATTTCTGCACCTCCCTAAACAGCCTCGCTGGAAAAGCAACGCGGTTCCGGGAGCCCCGGCGGCTGACCATGGCATTCACGGAGGCCTTGTGGTTCAGAAGCAGCCTCGCGCCGCGCCGACGCCGGCGAGCGTGTCTCTACCTTCGTACCACTTTTATGTGGGTCAAAGGCAGGAAAAACGAAAGAAATCCCTGCAGAGTCCTGGAACTCTGGGGAAGAGTAACACAGTGTCAAAGTGCCAGATCTTCGGAAGAGTTTATGGGCGGGACTGGTGTCATTGTCAAAGGCGCGGAAAGCTTTGCAGTCCGCAGTTTGTTCACCCAAACGGCCAGAGCTTGTCTTGCCAGAATCAGGGCGCATGCCTAAACTCTTTCTTGGCTTCAGAAGCCTTCCTCGAAATACCCAAGGGTCTGGGTCGTCTGCATGTTGGCGTTTCGGAACAACTAAAGAGAAAAACGTAGAGGAGCGTGTACATAAATTTGTATATATATATATATATATACGCTACCCCCCCCTCCCAAAACCCAGGTTTTGAACCTGGACAATTGCCAAAATCACTGGAAAAATGCTACTTTTGAGAAACATGTGTATTTCCGCCTCTGCGAAACGCATATTTTGCAAGTTCAAGCAGTAAAATTTGGCAAGTTCAATTAGTTAGTCAAAAAACAGTCAGCAAGTCAACTAAATAGTCAGTTAACTAGTTGTAATGAATTAGCTCTAAACCCAGTTAGCTAGTTAATTGGCTAATCAGTTAGTTATCTATTTAGCTGCCTAGTTAGTTAGATAATACTGAAGATATTCCCCTAGTATTCCCTTCCTTTGCTAGTGAACTATTTGGGGAACACTAGGGGGGTTGTGAGGAAAAACTGGGGGTATACCAAGAGAATACTAAAGGAATACTAGGGCAATACTAGGGGAATACTAGGGCAATACTAGGTACATACTCAGGGAATACTAGGGCCATATTAAAGGTGAATACTAGGAGAATACTTGGGAATACTGAGGGGGTACTAGAAGTATACCAAGGTAATATTTAAATTTATATATATATATATATTAGGACAATACTAGGGCAATACTAGGGCAATACTAAGTAGGGAATACTATGGGAATACTAAAGGAGAATACTAGTGAATACTGAGGGAATAGTAGGGGTATACTCTCAAGCTCAATATGTCTGACTTTTCTCAGGCTTCCTGACTAGGGCAATACTAGGGCACTACTAGGGAAGTACTAGGGGAATACTAAAGGTGAATACTGGAAGAACTCTAGGAGAATACTGAGAGAATACTAGGGGTACCAAGAGGATACTAAAGGTATTGCCCTAGTAATTCCCTCCCTTTACTAGGGGAAATAGCAAGGGAATACTATGGGGTAGTGAGGAAATACTAGGGGTATACGAAGAGACTACTAAATTAACAGAATACTAGGGCAATAATAGGGGAATACTAGGGCATTCATAGGGCAATACTAAGGACATACTCAGGGCAATAAGATTGAAGGTGAACACTAGGAGAATACTAGGGGAATTCTGAGGGAATACTAGGGGTATACCAAGAGAATATTTAAGGAATACAAGGGCAATACTGAAGGTATTCCCCTAGTATTCCCCTTCCCTTACTAGGAAATACTAGGTGCATACCAAGATAATTCTAAGGGAATACTAGGGCAATACTAGGGCAATACTAGGGGAATACTCAGAAAATACTAGGTGAGTAATAAGGTGAATACTAGGAGAACACTGAAAAAACTGAAAACACTGAAACAAATGAAAACCAAGGATTCAGGGGGACATGCCTGGGGGGGGGGGGCAGCCCCCATGTTCCCCTGAATCCTTGGTTTTTCAGTTTTTTCAGAGCTTCCTTGAAGAGATGCCCTTACGCAATCATAGTGCCTGGTTGCTCAGACAAGACTAGGGGAATAATAAAGGTGAATGCTAGGAGAAAACTGAAAAAACTGAAAACACTGAAAAAACTGAAAAACCAAGGATTCAGGGGGACATGCCTGGGGGGGGGGGCAGCCCCCATGTTCCCCTGAATCCTTGGTTTTTCAGTTTTTTCAGAGCTTCCTTGAAGAGATGCCCTTACGCAATCATAGTGCCTGGTTGCTCAGACAAGACTAGGGGAATAATAAAGGTGAATGCTAGGAGAAAACTGAAAAAACTGAAAAAAACTGAAAAAACTGAAAAACCAAGGATTCAGGGGGACATGCCTGGGGGGGGGGGGGGCAGCCCCCATGTTCCCCTGAATCCTTGGTTTTTCAGTGTTTTCAGTTTTTTTTCAGTTTTTTTCAGTTTTTTTCAGTTTTTTCAGTTTTTTCAGTTTTTTCAGTTTCCAGAGAGCTTCCTTGAAGAGATGCCCTTACGCAATCATAGTGCTTGGCTGCAGCATTGGCTGCCAAATGAGACAGATGGAGAAAGTGGGCCTGAAAAATGTGTGCTCTGGCAGATGCAGTTTTTTGTGAGAAAACACTGGTATTTACAGTGTTTTCTCACAAAACCTGGGTTTTGGGAGGGGGGGTACCATATATATATATATATATATATATATAAGGTCTTTGGCGCCACCTACCTCTCCAAGACTCATCGATCTGCCCAAGATGGGCCCCAAGCGTGCACGATTGGGTGGCACGTTCCAGAATGCAACTGGACGGACCTCTATGTAGCTTGTCAAGGCTCACAAAGGCTTGCAGCGACCACCCCAAAAACTCTTCATCAAGCACCAAAAACACCCACCCGCCCTCAAAAGAAAAATTGTGTACACCATACGAAGATCATATGTACAAAAAAGGCCCCTCCCAAGCCTGCCCAGAACCAGCCGTGGCCCTCCCAAAACCGACAGCGCCGTTCGGCCCTGCCTCACGACATTCACGTAGCCCCGGGACGCGGCGAGGTGGATGGCTTCTCCACTTCCCTCCTGCGCGAGAGTCTGATATCTCCAACCTGTACCATGAACAAACAAACAAAAACGCACCTATGTAGGCTTGTCTTTTTTCGAGCGTACCCTTTTTTGGCTTGGTTTAGACGGAAACCAACAAGAAACGGCACCCATGTAGGCTTGTCCTTCTTTTCGAGGGTTCCCTTTGTTGGGTTGGTTTAGACGGAAACCAACAAGAAACGGCACCCATGTAGGCTTGTCTTCCTTTTCGAGGGTTCCCTTTTTGGGGTTGGTTTAGACGGAAACCAACAAGAAACGGCACCCATGTAGGCTTGTCTTTCTTTTCGAGGGTTCCCTTCTTTTGAGACAAGCCCATTTGCTTGTAGTTGACCTCAAAGGGAAACCTCCAAACGAAGGAACAAGTGGGCGTGACTGGAGGTCTGGGATGCTGTTCTGGCCATTGTTCCCCGCTGGAAAACAGTGCTGAGTGCGCGGCAGGCTTGCTCCCATTCCAGCGAATCCATCTTTCCTTTTGTCTCTTTTTCCTACTTTGATTGAGCCACGGTACAAACCCTATGAAGTCTGGCAGGCGACAGTCGGAGCCTTTCATACCTACCATTGATTCGTTCCTCCATGGAGCTTGTTCTAGAAATCAATCGTCGGGTCCTGCCATTTCCCATGAAACAGAAGCGTGAGAAAGAGAGGAAACAAACGTAGACAGCAGAATCTAAAGATGGCACGCCAAGCTGATTTAGAGACAAGCCTAAGACTCTTCAAAGCACCACTCTGGTGCTACTGAGGCCTTATTCGCAAAACGGTGCCTCCTTTTTTGCCGCATAAGGGTTAGTGCCAAAATGGGAGGATTGCCCAGCTCCACTGGGCAGCTCCCCTCAGCAGCTGATGGGAGTAGGATTGATGCCACTCCCACAGCGAGGGAGGAATCCTCCCACCTCACCGGATGCCCTCCCGGCATCATGGGTGAGGAAGGAAAGTAGCGAAGATCAGTGTGATCAATTCGCTTTCGACTGAGGGGAAGACCCGGTTCTCAGTCGGAAATTGCGGGTCCGGATGAGTAAGTTCATCCGCCCACGTGTTAAAGTCGCGCTTCACATGCGACGGCCCCAACATGACCTGCTGGTCATGCAGCGTTAACACAATTTCCATGAGGATGGCCGCATTGGGCATCCTGCGAGTGGAATCGTTAAGAAGGGAGAAAACATTTCCCTGGTTATCACTAGCAACCAGGATCCTAGTGTGAGAAGCCGAGCCGGCTGCACAAAGCAGAACGGCCCTCACCAAAAGGAGGAGGCCGAAGAGCTCCAAGGCCGCTATCGCCCGCTGCGGGTCCCCAGTAGTGAAGGCCCACGGCTCGCCCTCCGGTGTGATTCTGTGCTGGAACCACTTCACACGGGACTTGTCGGGGTTGGGCACGTCCGAGCACCAACCACCAACCCATGCATGGTCTGCCTGTCTGCCAGCTCCCGCATCAGATGCCCCCGTCCATGGGAGTGTGGGAGCAAACGGAGATGCCAGTGGGAACCTCTGGTTGAAGAGTCTCCCCAAAAGGATGGCCAGAGCACGAACCAGCTTCGGTGGCCTGCCCGAAGTGGTGCAGGCCTTCTTCCAGCTCCAAAAGGGCTGGAGGAAAGGTTTCGTCAATGGGCATGCCGAAGTAGCCCATTGAATACGGCCTAGGGCTTGTTCCACCTCCTTGCTGGTGAAGATGTCCCCCTGGGCCAGCCGTTTAAGAGTGGCCAGGATTATGACGTGTTTGACTGGAGCCAGCAGTACACAGGGCGTGATTGGGTCCACCACAAAGCCCAACCAGGTATTGATCGGGGAGAGCGCCGTCTTTTTCCAGGAAAGCGGGACTCCCAGCGCCAGCAGTGTAGCCAGGATGGCTGTGGCGTCCCAGTCCGCCCGGCTGCATCTGAGGACCCAGCAGTAGTCGTCCACAAAGACTAAGTGCCAGTCCACCTGAAGGAAGATGTAGTACAAGAGTCTGAGCACCAAGGATGCCTTTCTTCCCCAGTACAGTTGTGCCGAGGCCATGCCGTACGTGCCCACTCTGTTGACCCACCACCGGTTTTGGATGCAGGCCACCTGGTATTTCCAGTCTTTCGGGAGCACTTTTATACGCCTGTGGGCCTTGGTGACATCCGCCTTGAGGATGATGAAGGTTTCCCCCTGTGTCGGCGGCTGCCACATCAGGGGTTCCCCCCTGATCCTCCCAGGGCGTTCCGTGCCCGGGGGGGTTGGGGGGAAGGGGGCCCTCCTATCAGGGCCCTCGGCACCTGGGAGTGGTCCCTTCCCTGAGGGTGTCGACCCCAGAGAGACGTCCAGGCCGCCGGAGGTATCCATCATCCCCCTGCCCCGATCAGGCCCCTCAACCCTGGGGGGCTGTGGGGGTCCCTCTCAGGGCCCTCGGCACCTGGGGACTGCCCCTGCACCGGCTGGTGAACATCCCGAGGTCTCTCCTCAGTGCTCGAGAGCGTGGCTCGAAGTAGATGGGGATGGTCCGTCGCCGTCCTGAGCCAGTGGATGGCGTGGAGGCAGTCTCCAACCATCGGTGCAGTGGTCTTCTCCCCCGTATGAGCCTGGATGTGTGCGTTTGCTCCCCCTTTCGAGCCATCATAGATCGTCCTGATCTTGTCTGACTCATCAATCCCCGCAAGGGGGCCCGGGCAAAGTTCCTCCGGTTTGCAGCGGCACCTCTCTGCCGCCTCCGACCGGGTGAAGGGCCCGTCCACCATGTCCAAGGCTCGTTCCTCGTAAAAGGTTGCCTCGATTTCACTGGCAAAGAGTTCAGCCGTTGGGTAGTTATCATGGGCCACCGGCGGGGGGGGGTCTTCCCCCAGCCAGGCTTCTCCCTTAAGCTCCTCCTTAGTCGGCCAAACTCCGGGGGAGGTCAAGGTAGGGTCCGAGACTCCCAAGGGGACCCCCTCTTTCAGTGTCAGGGGGAACTCCCAATCAGGGTCACCTGAAAGGGATGCCAAGTGCGAAACTAGGTCCAGGAGGAAGGGTTGCCCTGGGCATCGTTCATGGAGGTGCCTAGGTCCCAGGATAGCCCGCAGCTCATCGAGGTCGGCTTCCTGGAAGGGGTGTGTGGTGGCACCTGATGCCAGGGACATTCGGACCTTGTCAATCCAGGGCCGGGTAAGGGTCATGATCAGGGCGCCCAAAGTAGCCAAAGGGGAAATTCTCCGAAAGGGGGGGTTGAGCCTCCCCGGGGAAGGTTTCCCCCCCCCATCCCTCAGGGGGCGTGAGCGGAAACCCAATTGGACAATCGCAACTCGGTCAATGAGGCGTGGGACCCTGAAAGCGGGCAGGCATTCGGGGCGGTCCAGGACCTGGTCCCCATGTTCTTCCTTCCCCAGTTGTTCCGCATCTCCGGCCATCGGGGGCATGGGAGATGGGAAGTCTGGGTTCATTGTTCCACGAGGGCTTACGGTGTCTGCCTCAAGGTGGATGTGCCCGTGCTGGCGGGGCTTCGGGGCATTCTTGCCTCCGGGCTTTGGGCCCTGGTGTGATGAGGAGGGACCGCCTCCCTGATTGGGTCCCCGTTTTCCCCGGGGGGAAGGGCCCTCCGGGGGGTCCGACCCCCGCCCCTTAGGTGGTTCCTTAGGGTTTCCCGGGAATTGTGAGGGGATCCGGATGTGCCCCGGCGCTGCGAGTGACACAGCGATGGCTTTGGCCAGGCCTGCCATCATATCCCAAGGGTATCTGCTAAGAGTCGAGGACTCGTTGGTGCCCACATGTGACTGATGCGTGCACCGCATTTGATCCCAATCCTGAATTGGGAGATCCGTGGCTAGCGTAGTGGCCTTCTTGACCAGCTGGCCCAGGCGGCACTGGTCAAAGGAGATTGCTGTCAAGGAGTTTGCCTCCATCCAAAGCTGCCCCTCCTCCGTGATCCAGAAGGATGAGCATTCCTTGGCTTTGGGCAGCGAGCTGCTCACCACTGGGTCCTCCAAGTGCTCCAAGAAGGACTTTGGCCCTGGCAGAGAAACCGCCGCTCTGCCAGCTGGTGATGTACATCTGCCTCAAAATGAGGATACTGTCATCATCAAGCTGAGTCTGGGCGGCCTGGTCCAGGTGTGGGAGGCCCCAAAGTGTCTCTCGAGTGCGCCCTCGCACCGGGGTGGGGGCCCCCGGTTTTGGTATGTGGCGCAGGATGGACCATGTCCTGCAGTTGGGTCCTCCTCCAATGAAGACCACTCGGCCCTGCTTTGCTGCCGTGCAGAGAGCTCCATATAGCTCGGGTTGGAGCATGTCGTGGTTCCCTTTTGGTCCCGATCGTAGGATGTCTACCGCCACCACCATGCTGGAAAGGTGTGGGTAGTTGGCATGAAGACAGCTGTCCAAGGAAGTTGGGTCTTCCTTGCCTGCATAGAGCAGGACAATAATGGGCCCACTGGATGGAACTTTGGGTGATGTGCCCTGTGTCCATCTCAGCCGCTGTACCAAACGCTCCGGGATGTTCTCCATCCACGGGAAGATGTCCCATCCCGGTGACGGCTCCGTGGGACTTGTCAGGGGGGTAGCTGAAAGGCGCTGGCCCCCTTCATTCAGCCCAACCGAGCTCTTATAAAAAACCACCGGGTCCTGCTTGATGATGTTGGGCGCCGGAAGTGGGATCGGCTGCCTCCTGGGCGTGTTCCTTGGCGTTGCGGTGTGCTGCCAGTTATCCGGCAATCGGGCCTGCTGGGCGCGGCCCCCCGTGTCAGGGCCCTTGGCACCTGCAGGGAACCGTCCCGTCCCTGCCGTTTCAGGGCCCTCGGCACCCGTGGCTCGGGGCTGAGGCGCCGCCGTTGTGCCAGCTGTGTGGTTGTTCTGACCCCAGCGAGGGTGTTGTGCACGCTGGTTCTGCCGTCCCCATCCTTGTTCCGCCGAGGATGGCCGCCACCTGGCCTGTCCCCCCCCTGTGTCAGGGCCATCGGCACCTGCAGGAGGGGGCTCATGTGCCTGCTTGGGGCGTTTGCGCCCCCTCTCGCCCCCCCGGGCCTTATCAGGGCCCTCGGCACCTGAGGCCTCCCGAG